GATGTTATTTTGTTCGGAGTAAAAGATCTTTGAAGCTGTCAGTTTCGAATGTAACGCAGGTGGGAAAAGGACCGGAAAAATCGACTTTGAGCCAATTCCTTCATCATAAAATTTCTGTGTTGACTAAATTTGAAAGAAAAACTTGAACTATTGGAGTATACTCTTTGAATTTGGTTGTAGCCACAAGAGCTAGGACATTTCACAATAAACTCGCGGAATATTTTAGAAAAAAATACTGGTTGATCTCGGCCGCAAATTAGGCTCCAAGTTTCTTATATCAAATTCGAAAATAAAAACGAATTATGAAGTTGGACCAACCTCTTTGAATTTGATTTTAGCCTCATGGCTAAGACATTTAACAGTTAGGCTCCGTGGTTGTTGAACCAAATTCTAGAAGTTATTTGAGAAATGAAATGAAATCAATTATTGAAGCAGATTATTCTGAGTTCTATTTCAGCCAAAAGGGGCTATGACATTTGAAAGTTGGGCTCCAAATTATGATGAATTCCTGTGACTAATTATTATAAGAGATATTGGTTGTTAAACGCCTTCAATTTCTGTTTTATTCTCATTATGAAATGAATTTGAAGATCGAAACTTCATGTTTTTGTTGATCATTTTTCTTTTCTGTATTCCTATGTTACACCAAGTGACTGCACTAAAGATCTTCCTTCCACTTACAATAATGAGTAAATAAACTTATTATAATACATTTTAACACCAAATGCCTGGTCCAAAGGGTAACAAGTAATTCTCTTCTCGAACGTGACTTACTTTAAAGTTTTTGGACTCACTTGAAAGTTCGTATTAAAGGATCAATCTCATATAAACCAGTAAAATGACAACCATCGCGGTAAAGAAATCAAAAGTACTAGCTTTTCAAAGCGAGGACATACTAAACTCATATATTTTCCATAATTTGCATTTTTGTTTGCGCTTCGATTTGATGAAGTCGACGTTCTTTCCGTCTAAATTTCAATTCTGAAACAAGTAAATATGTTTATGATTCCTTAAATTTCCACAAAACTCGTCATAAATATGTGAAAAAATTCAACTAGAAAACGTGATTACTGTTTTGATGTTGTAAACTACCAAATTCCCTAATTTTGTTTGATTTGAATTTGACTCCAGCCTTTGTCTGGAAAAATTAACGTGTTGTACCAAAATTGAAAATCGTGATGAACATATAAGAATGTAATTTTCTTGTTCGTGCGAGACAATTATGACTTTTCATAACAACGAATCTCCGCCAATTGACTTATTTACTGTTTACTGGTCGAAAGATTGGCTCCTATATTCAAGTTTATTTTCGAGCTTTTTCTGAACCATTTGCGAAACATTTCACTATCTTAATTTCTATTAAATTAAGTCTTCTCGAAATATGAAAACCTATATTTCTTCGTTGTCAAAGGAGTCAATTTTAACTGGTTTATATAAACTTAAATTTCAGCTAAATCAGTTTCTCGAAAGAGCATGTGACCAGGCATTTGAGTTAAATTTTAAAACATATTACTTTTTATCAAAATTCGAGCTCAGTTGATGCCACAAAGTAACGACATAACTAAGATGGCACTGTACTAAATTCTTGCTTCGTGTATGGAAATAAGTACTTTCTTTTTTTTAATAAAAGTTCCCGAATTTCCAGTTAAATACAGTTCATACCGAGAATGAATTTTCATTTTATAAATTTTTTTGGCCAACTTTTTTCTTGGTATCATTTAATCGTTAAGTGTGATCGACCAGGTATGACTAGTCCTGAAAAGGCTTGTTGTGGAAACTAGCGTTTAGCATGAGCAGATGTCGTCAGAGGCGCAAGTGAACGATCGTTTAGAAGTCGAATGTTATAACTTCGGTTTTGAAAACTGATTGGTCAGTTTTGCAGCAAAGTGGCTGTCAGACTCAAAAAGCGTTTGTCCGTTAATTAGTCTGTTTTGATCAGCTGGTAAGGTTAGTTTGTTCTGTTGATGACTGCGTTGTTTTTTTTTTTTTTGAAAGTCGTTTGTAGAGTGCCGATCGTTTGTCGTTTATGTCATCTGTTATGAGGAGTCTTGTCCAAGTTAGTTAGTCCAACTGAGTTGGTCTTTGCGGATGGCGAAAGTCGACGGTGTTCAGCAATATGATTTTTGACGTAAAGAAAATAGGCAAAATCAGTCAAAATCGTTAAAAGATTTAAATTTTGAATTCCGTTTGGTCTTTGTCCGGCCAGGGTATTTTGTTAGAGTGCCATCTTAATATCACCTTTGTGTGACATCCACTAATAAACAAGAGTGATACCAACTGTTAAACAAACCTAAAAAATTGAGCGATCACAGTTTTGATATGAAAAATTTAAGTATCAGCATTCCGTAGTTAGAATTATACCAGTTTTCATTTGTCTCGGTCTTGAATTCGATGTAACGAGATTATATCTGAGATAAATTACTCCAAATTATAGCCGGTGGTTCAAATAAATCAAATGATCGCTCAGAGTCTGCGTAACAATCACTATCACAGCAAACTATTCCAAAAATGGTGGCTAATTAAGAACTCTTCACTCACCATGTAATCAGTTTTATCCAGCTCAAGACAATTGGGAAAAGAACAAAGACTTTGTACAATAATTAGAAATACAAAGCGCCACCATTTTTGCTAGTATTACTAAATAATTTTAAAGTTCTTATCTTTGCAGTATCCACTAATAATTCAGTGACTCTGTTGTCTTCTCTTGACCAATCTTTCTTCTTTCATCCTTCTGTCAACATTTCTCTTCCTGAAAGTAGAAAATATGAATGTCATTGGGGAGTGCTCACTTTCCATGAGGACAAAATATAGAAATTATAATTCTGGACAATTATTTTGCTATTTGTCACAGTTGTAGGACGAGGGAAATCATTCAAACGTTTTAAAATTTTATAGGACAGTGAAGCAAAGGGCCAAATAAGAATCATCAAACGTTTTAAAATTTTTGTTTACATGGAGTTATGACGCAGTTCGTTAATGTTTCCTTCCTTTGTGTACCGGTACACGAGGACACAACCGAATCATCGCACCTTCTCGTGGCTGCATTCGAATACAAAATTAAGTCCCCAATGCATTTAGCGAGCGAATCTTTTTTATAGTAGCGTTTCACTAAAATATTTTATAATCATAGGTTCGGTTTTTCTCGAAGCCAACACCCTAATTTAGTCTAATTTCGAGTTGAGGCGCCTAGACCGCGGAGCCGATTCGTGCTACGTCGTTGGCCTTACACAATACGGCTTGTTAAGACCTCGAAGGGAGATTAAGGCGATATTATCTAAAATCAATGCTCACCTGCTGTTAAGAGTTTTTTTGTTGCTGTTTTTGCAGGTCCAATTTCTTCTTCCTTCCAGAGTACAACGTTATTTTTAGCACAACAGACGGTAAGTCTTAACTCTACGATGGGCAACGTGGTTTACTGAAAATTCTACAACTTCTGATGAATATGGATTAACATTTTCAGCCAATAATCGGCAGCTACGTCACATATTTGGCACGGAGTTCTGTTGCACGCTCAGTCAGCTAATCAAGAATCAAACTAAATAAAAGGCATTGCAAGTGACGGATTAGCATGCTACAAGAGAAAAAAAAATCAGTGCAAGTGAATTTTAGGAAGTATTATGCGATCAGGAAATTAAATCTGATACTCGAAAATAGCTAATTTGAAGTACTGATATTATTAAGAGCACTAGAACTCAGTTCTTAATAAAAAGATATATTTGAGGACCCATTTTGATATTGCATGAAAATTGTTGTTTATTTTCTTACGAAGAGCGTGTAACAAAAAGAACGCAAATAGGATGACGCACTGTAATTTACCAGTGAAGAAAGAAAAACATTAAGAAATTAACGCATTGTTACTCTCTCATGAAGGAAGAACAAGATTAAAAGTACGCAGAATTAATTCAAAGCGCTGTCATTCTATTATACAGACAGGAGAAATCAACATTGGCACTGAGTTACTTTATATTGACCGAGAGACCAGCCGTGCGGCGCATCAAGCTGCAGTAACCCTAAGACTTAAGACTGATAATAGGTTAACAAAATACAAATAAAGTAAAATAAATTTGAAAGGTTGCTGGATGATGTTGATTCTTCTTGTTTCAAGCGTGGGAAAAAAAAAAAATTAAAATCCGCACGAGGAATCAAACATCAATCCTTCGGATTTCGTCCTCCTATGCTCTACTGCTGAGCCACAGAGTCACCACCTTGAAGTACGCTATTACAAGATCGATATGTAACACATTTCCTGCATACAGCTACGATAAGCAATGTCAAAAGCGTCACATGTGTGACCAGAATAAGATAGAGACAAGACGAAGAAACATCTTTCTTTATCGCTATAGCTATACTGAATTCAAAACTGACCACCTGTGCCGCTTTAAACCATTGCCAGTTTAAGAAAAATCCTTTTACCCAGTTGCCTTGTCTAAGACCGCGAATTGTGGCACATTAGCCATGATTTTGTGTTTTACAGGTGAGCAGAGGAAAGCGTGAGGCGAGCGTGAAGAAAGCGCAAGGCGAGCGTGAAGAAAGCGTGCTTGTACCAGAAGAGGAGCGCGGTTAAAAAAAAAAATCCCCTCGCAGGTGTCTGGCCCTGCACACTTTCATCCGCTTGCCTTTGAGACTTAAAAATAAAATTGGCGCTTACTCCACAGAATATTTCCACATTGACCTCGGGAAGCCGTATCCAGCATATTGAGACATTACTTAAAAAATAAAGAAGCCTGGACTGTGCTCTGTTTTGTTGTAAGGCACGCATGAAGCAACTTTAGCATGATGGCCCCAGATTGACTTGAACTTGCGCATCGTACCACAGTGTGATCGCAATCGCTCTAACACCATGATTTGTGTAAATTTTTGACAGAGACGCCAGTTTGATTGTATCTCTCATTATTTCTGTTTTGCTGTGTCTTTTAACACGAAACTATACCATAAAAGTGCTAGCTGTGTTTGAGTTTTATTACCGTACTTAGGCTAAAGACAATCTTACAGCGTAAAAACATTCAAAAACGAAAGCAGCCCATGAACGAGTTAAAAGACAAAAAGAAAATTAAAAATCCACTCTAGCTGTTCTTCATTTCCCCCTCGATAGCCAACAGAATTTGCACCCACCCCTTCCCTATGAGTGTGACGTTAACCCTAGTTTATTATCAGTTGACTGTTGTTGAGTTAGGGGAGGGGTAGGTGTGCAGTTTTTCAGGTACGGACATTGATTCAGTATTTCTAACTAATAACTTTGTTTAATCTCATTTCCCATTTACTTTTGAAGAAACAGGAGTTGAATACAAAAAAAAAAAAAAAAAAAAAAAAAAGAAAATAAAAGTTCTTGAAGTATCTTTAATAAACCAACGTTCTTTCTCACATTCTAAGGCAAGACTTGAGCGATTTTTCAGCATCTTAGTTACTTTGGCCATTTCCTATTTCACCTTTGAATGTTTAGTCTTCATGCCTAAGATCTCGATCATTTTGGAGTATAGGAGATTTTCGGAAAAGTTTATACTAAAAGTAGTCTTTCAAAATGTATCATATTGGTAGCTATCATGTCAAGTATTTCACCACAAAGAACATTATTATACAGGTGACTATCATTCCTCCAAAAACAATCCACTTGTCCTACAGAGAAAGAGAGAGAAAAAAAGTGACTGTGGTGGACAATAGTTTGGTTCACTACAGGATCATAGCTAAGATTTTCAATGATGGGGGATGGTGGCGGCATGGTTATGAAATTCTGCACACATTCGGTGAAGTGACCAAAACCACTGCTCTACCTTGTGTATTAAGGAGGGGGGGGGGGTTGTGGAGGGATGTGGGGGGGAAGTTAAGGGGTGTGGGAAGGGGAGGCCTGTAGTCAACCCTTCAACTGGTGAGAAGGACCATCATCTTTTATATCTAGCAGAGAAAAATATATATGCAGATTTTTTTTATATTTGCTTTTTCATCATCTAAATTAAATGTTCTGTAAGCTGTTCATGTAATAGAAAATCTCACAAGAAGGGGATGGGGGAGTGGAACAGAAAACTGTTGACTCCCCCTGCACTGAACAGTTGTTTATCATTGATAGCCTTTTCTGATTAAACCAGTCAGTCCCCTGAATGGGGTATGTTGTGTTTTACTAACAGTGATATTCAGAATAAAATACCTGTGTGGCTCTCTTGTCAATTAATCTCATAACAGTGTTGGAAAGTCCAAGAGTGCTGGCAATATCCAATATTCTCTTTTGTGCTCCCTGAAAAAAGTGGAAGAGAAGGGTTTGTTACCTTCTTAATCTTATCATACTTTACTCCAAACTTGGAATAGAGCACAAGAAACAGCCAGCTAATTTCATGTTTACTTTCTCCAACTTCTCACCAATCAACTACAACAACAGTGGGTATGCTGCTGAAAGGAAAGGTTAGCAACAGAAATGGGAAGGGTGCACCCAATTGTAAGCCCAAGAATAGACACATGGGCTTGTCTGTCAATACCAGTATGTGTCTGACCTTACAAGAGTACTCTGCATGTTTTGCACACACATTTTGGTCACCTTATTGTTAAGCTGAACTGTACTAATAAAAAAATCAATGCACATGAAGTGAACATACTTTTAAAGTGACGCGTTGATCTCGTAAACTTGTCAAAATACTGGAGCCGCTGCTCAATAAATCACTGATTCCTCGGTCAGCATTTTGAAGAGACGTGTTATGCTGTAGAGCATGGTCTATCATAATCGATGTCTCCCCACTATTCTGCAAGATAAGTTTGAATCATTTATCTTACTGTACTGAAAAAGCTAAAAGTGCAAAATTCACATTTCTATAACAACATATGTAATCACATATAGAAGCCAGGGGCAAAGGTTAAAGTTGAATGCACCACAAGGACTAAAAGACTCAGATCTTACATTCTGATGCTCTAGCACTGAGCAACAAAGAACTCACAGATAGATGGGTAGATGATTTATTTTACTTCATATATAAAGGGAATGATCTGATCATCTCCCAATCTCGAGCTCCTGAGCCACAAAACCTAAGGCACATGATGTAAGTGTTTGACATGCTAAAAACTGAGAACTATAAATGATAAAAACTAATGAAAAATAAAAATAAATAGCAATAGAATCAAGAGATGACACAAATTTGTCTAATTAATTGGTAAGGGGAGTTAGGCCCTGTTTTAAAGAGGAACATGTTAAATAGTCATGCAAATCTTTGAGTAAAAATGATTTTTGTAATATTTTTTTTGGTCAACTTTCTCTCTGTTGATGCATACATATATATACCAATATACCACACCTGCAAACTATTTTCACCTCAAAAAGGAAAGGAGACACAGGGCCTTTTTAAAAGAAACAGGTATCCAGGCTCAAATTCTTGTACAGTTGCTATTTAGCATCATGAAACAGCATAAAAATTGCCAAAAACAGGTTATGAAATTGATGGTTTTCATATGATTGTAAATTTAGTGAGCAGTTTCTTTTTTTTTTCCCATGGTGATCAAAATAGTTGCAACTTGAGGTACAACAGAAATTACTAACATTTGTAGTAAACCTTCTGTTTAAGAGCTCCTCTCTTTCTCTTTCCTCCTGTTCCTGATGAAAGAGAAAGAATGAAATAAATTAATTCTCCACCCTGTCTGTCAAATGTTTTTCTTTATTCTCATCACTTGCTGGCTTGATGTTGTATTGATACTGTAAGGAGCAATTCTGTGTTGGTCACTCACGGGATTTAAAGGGTGAAATCACGAATAGTAATTATAAAAAGCAATCATACCCTTAGCATTTTGCGATGCTGGTAGTTGTTAAAGCCTGTCTTTAGGTGTCTTAAATCATATGTCAATTGGTCGACTTTACTGAGGAGAAAAAACAATTGTCATATTTAAGGCAAATTCGAACATCTTCACTTGCCTAAAGAATCTGCTTTAAGACCTTCTGCATAATTTACATGAAAATCCATACATCAGAATCTTATTAGTCAACAGACACTTGAATACAGCACTTCAAAGCCAAGCTGCAATGTAACAACTGACAAATTCTGTTTCAACAATAGTTGTCGGTAGAACGACCACTGGGGATGTTTTGACATTAAATTCAGGTTGCTCTCACAGGCTAATGTCTCTGTTCCCAGTAGCAAAATGTTGTTTGACTTTTTTTTTGGCAGGTTTTCATGTTCGACACTTTGACACAGTTATTTTACCATCAAAACCCCATCATCAAACTTTTGTGCTTATCACTGAATTGATTATCATAGTAGGGTAATTTGTTGTTATCAACCAAGTTGATGAAGTAAATTGGCCATCATTAACCCTTTAACTCCCAAGATCTGATTGTCAATTCTCCCCACTAGCTGCTACATAAATCCTTGTAAATTAGTTATGAGAATTTGGTGTAAGATCACAATAACAACTTCTACCTGATAGGTTTGAATATTCTCATTACCTGTTTGATGGATAATGTAAAGAAATTATAGGGAGAAGTTTTATGTTGATCACTTCTGAGAGTTAAAGGGTTAAGAGTTAAGAAGCTGACATTTTGAGCGTTAGCCCTTTTTCTGAGTAACTGGAGGAATTGTGGGTTGTATGTGTGTTGATATGCAGAAAATGGAGCTACACAATCAGTGGGAATATGGTGACGAGAAAACAAGAATAAATCAGTTAAATGAAAAGCACTCTAGGGAAGTCATATTAATGTAGATCATAGTATTTGTAATGGGTCTAACCAACATACTTATGAACCACTTACATTCTGGCACTCTGTTTCTTCTGAGGTGGTTCCTTGTTTATAAGGATCGCCAGACGGTCACAATTAGCAGATGCTTGCTCCAAGTTTTGTTCTATTTCTTGTTCAAGAGCTATTGTGGAAAAGAGAAGATGATTTAAGATTAAAAACTATTCCTACTAACTCTCCTTAAAGGAGTTTTTAACATAAATTCACTTTATTTTTTTCTGATGCATCTCTTCAATCCTCCAATGCATCAGCAAGCACACACTGGTAACTGGTCCAGCTTTTTTAGATTGGAGCCAGGTCCAAAATCCTTTGCATGCCATTCATAGCAAAACTAGAAAATGGCAAACTGGCAGAAAACAATAAATAACTTGTCTACTGGCCTACATCAATCATTACAGGGAAAAACTGGTCAGAAAAAAGTAAGAAATAAGTTTTTTACCAGTTTAAGTATGTCCACATAGGAAAAAAACTGTGCTCTGGTCTTGAGTTCTATTTTTTTTATCATTTAGCTCCTCGCCTGGTAAATAATTATATAAAGGTATCCTTGTAATCATATTCTGTGCTTTTTGTGAATCTTAAGGTACATTAAGTCAAAGATTGCCAGGTGATGATTATGACAAAAAACCATATTTTGTTAAAGCTGTAGAATCCATAAGCAGCAATTCCTTTTTTCACCAGGGATACTTCAATCAAGTATCATACATCAGCTCGTTTTCACGACAAACCGCTCATGGCTTGTCTGTGAGAATGAGACAGCTGGTAGGATAAACATGACACAATGATGACCCTTTCTTCCAAATTAATGTTTACGCTCACCGTTCAGCGAATCAGGATGTGCAGAACTCAGTTTGCTGAGCAAACCCTGAACTCCTACGATGAGCCTTTCATAGGGAGAAAAAGAACATATCGTAACTTTAAATTTATCTAAACTCAAATTAAATTTGAATGTAGCCTGGGTAGATCCTATCCTTCGTGATCTGGACGGGTAAAATATCCATGCGAAGCATAAAAGTAAAAGAGGGCAAAGTGATGCTTTGGATGGTAAGAATACCATGGGGATCGCAACAGAAATGGGATGAAAATCAAGCTTCATTAATATTGGGTTGTCATAACAGAGCAAGGGACTCAACATTCGGAAAGTCTTCGAGGGGCTATAAACGCAAACAGAAAAACTTACCGATTGGTCTCTTGATAAAGATTGTCCATTGTATATTATTTCTTTTCAATTTGATCGCGATGAAAGCAATCAAGTAAATGAAGAGCACAAGGCACCTATTTTAAAAGGTCTTTAAAAAAAACTATCCAAACTAAACCGCCATCTTGTTTTCGTAACTTCTTCCGCTGACACACGACACGTCATGTCTCTATCCAAACTCCCACGGACTTTTTGGGTTGGTCCCGCAATTATTTTTGGTATCTACTTCTAAGCGTTTTTCAAATCAATTCAGTCGCTCTGTCAGAGAGTCTGTCAGTCTATCAGTTGTTCAGTCCGTTAGGCAGTGAATCACTCCATCAGTCAGTCATCAGTTCAGTCATTCTTTCAGTCAATGGTACAGCTACAATCAACCAGTCATTGACGAGGGCATTGGGACCTATTAGAAACCGCAAAACCGTAGAAAAAAATCATCCAAAACCGAAAAAAAATCAGATCAAAACCGGAAACAGCATGTAAAACTGTCTCAACCGATACATTTTCACATCCCGGTTATCAGAGCCCTGATCGATCCGACACAGTGGTGACAAGTGGAGCATACAGAGTAAACTGCACTAATTTCATTACAGTACTTGTGAATGCTATGGAATTTGCATTTGTATCTTCTAGTATCTGCTTAAATTACAGGCTTTATTTGACCTCAAGCATGGTTTTTGCGAACTCAGTAGCTGATAATAGAGCCTAGTTAAATTAAGGAAATTCGCTCAAAAGTCCTCTATAGGATTGCAATTTTGCAGTTGTAACAAGCTACAGCTCTGGAAAGTTTCATCGAAAATCCCTAATCTAACATTTCCATTTGCGAACTAAGACCTGAAAGTCTGGAGATTCTATTGAAAAGTTGAATCAATCAGTCACGTGTGGCCTGTAACTTAGTCACCAACTTCGAATTGGCTTTGATAAAGAAACTCTGGCAATGTTCCGTGCTTTGCCGTACCCCCCCCCTCCCCCACCATGGGGAAGGGTACGGCTACACTTAAGCTGCCTAGGGATCCCTGCGATTTTTCAATTGGTTTGTAACGCATTCGTCTCAATATCATTTGCGTTTAGCTGCTATTCGGGATCAGTGGAGGCGCGTAATTGCCGCTCAGATCGAAGAGAAACTGGAACCCAAATAGGTCAAATAGGAAAAGCCGAAAACCACATCGGTTATCAAATCCGAAAACGCGTTGGTATTTTTCGCGAAAAGCGAAAACCAGATGCGAAAAAACGGAAAATCCGCAAACTGCAATGAACACCAAAACCGAGAAACCGAAGTTTTTTGGTACAAAAACCGCAAAACCGATCTAAAAAATAGCCAAAACCGCAAAACCGAAAATCCCAATGCCCCTCTCGTCATTCAGTCAATCAAACGCTGTCTTTACGACTCCGAATGCCATTTTACGTTCAGATATAGGAATGCACTGCTGAAATACAGCGCCATTTTTTTTTTTAACAACATGCATGGCAAGAATCTAAAACCGACCAAACGCAAGCGAACCTCGATCTTTGTCTCGTATCGAGTTTGTAGTTTGGTTTCTGTAATGAATTATGTGTCTGGCCTCAGTTCGCGTGAGGAATGGGTATTTTTAAGAGAAAGGTATCCTCCCCCCGCTCCGGATTTTCCCGCCTCCATAAAAAAAAAAGAAAGAAATCTACCAAGTCACGTGATTTACTAGTGGCATTTATTTCATAGTTGACGTTAGGCATATTCTGTAAAAGAACTACACGTTTCTAAGATCGAACATGTGTTACTGTTGACCTCCAAAGGAAAGACGAATAAAGTGTACTTCGCCCTTTCTTAGTCGAAAACACCTTTGCAGAGAAAGCGCTTTCTGCTCATTCTAATCATATAATTTACGTTTTTGAAATCTTAACAGTCAGTGTTCTTTGATAACAAATTAACTCATCATTTGCGTTTTCTTTTTCCATATCTATAGGCTCTTAATAGCGCGATAAGAAATAAAAGCATAAATTTTAACTTTATGACTGGGAAATGAGAAAAATCTATCTTTTCACTAACTTTTTGTGAAGAGTGATTTAAAAACTTTGTAAGGACCATTTCTATAAGCAGAAACTGAGGCAACAAAAGCAATATTAGGAATGAGGGGTATAGTTCGTTTTCTTCATCTTAGCATTTTCTATCTGACAGAAAGTGTAGATGATCAATTACTTGGTCTTTTTTTCAAGCCAAACGAATATTTTGTGGTTTCCATCAAGTTAAAATATTCAATTTGGCCGTCGCATGCACAAAAATTTATATTGACTTTGAGACCAAAAAATGGCCTTAATTTTAACTATCGTTTGTGTTCAAATCTAATGCGCTTTAAATCTTAACATAAAAGTTACAGAAAAGCGGTTAAAAGGTTTTTTCGCATAAAATTCCCAGTCGGTTAACGCTAATTTTTATATTTAGTGTTTGCTTGTCTACGAAAGTCGTCTTATGAATCGTTGCCTCTGTTTTGCCATCAGTGAGTTTCTTACATTCGACGAAACACTCCTACTTGGGCACCGCAAGAGGGACAAATGTGTACCACATCTTTCATGGGATCACAACAAAATGGGATCAAACAGCAACCAAGATCACATCTGCAATATAAATAAAATAGGGTCAGTCTTGAAAAAGAATTCTCGTCTATCCCGTCTTTCTGTACTTTCAACGTACAGTGTTTTGCGAAAAAAATAAGTTGTATTTTTGATTAAACGAGGTGAGAAAATTCACTAAATTATTTGACGAATTTTCATTTTTTACGACAAACATGCATCACGCTTTTAATCTGACGCTTTTGTGAAATTAATAAGACTTGATATCAAATAAGAGTGACACAGTTTTATCCATTCATATAACCGGGTCGATAAAATAAAAGTCGGTTTAAATATTATCGCAAACGAAAGGAACAAGGGCCAAAACCGACTAATGATCGGAAAAAGGCTTTGAAGCTCACGGAAAAACGAATGAATAATCGGGAAAGACGGAGAGACGAACGAACGAGATCGGAAAATTTATATTCTGAAAATACCACCGCTAACGGAACGGGAGTGAAAGTTTATTATAGACAAAACTAAAATACAGTGAGAATTTGAAGGAACATATGCAGAATTATTTTAAGTGTTTAAAAATTTGACGTTTTCCCGTGTGCGTATAATACTTTTTTACTTAAGGTATCTTCGTTATCAACGGTATATTGTGTAACCTCAAAGATTGCATTTCGACTGAGTCTCGTAAAACCAAAATCAATGAAAACAAAACGGCCATTGAGACAAAAGGAAAATACTTCAAGAGCCAGATGAGAAATCATTTCAATAATGAGCAAACTGTCTGCAGCGTGGGAAAACACGAGTGTCTAAGTCGAGTTTAATTTTGTTCTTAGACCCGACTGGTTGAGGAAATTTGACACTTACTCTGAGTCCATTAGGGAAGAACATCACGCAAACTTGCGAAACTCCAGATTGCTTTCGAACTGTTGAAAATTGTCCTTTTAATCACTTTCGCGTGAGTTCTAAAACTTTAATAATATTTTATTCTATTTTCTTAAATTGTGAGTGATTTTCTATTCATTTATTTACTCCCAGCGGCGGTTTTTGTGTCGGTCTTGTGGAAAACAATCGGAAAAGTCTTCCATCGGTCCAAAGCACTCTATAATCGTTCGACAAAAAGGTTCGCGGGTCAATAACTTTTGCTGTTGATTTTTTTGATTGTTTGAAAATTGCTTAGTACTATCAATACTTTTGGACCAGTCTTTGTAATTCAAAATTCGCCTTGCCAATGTAATTAACCACCAGAGACTTTATTAAATTCGTTGAGATTCGCGTTTCGACGTTTTGACAATCTGAAAGCTAAGTTCTCTGACAGAGAAATGCGATATTTACAGGCAGTCAAGTCAGAAACACGTCAAAATGAATAAAGCCTAAGTGCAACTTGTATTCTTAATACGCATCCGATAGGTCGCGACATTGATTCTAGCGACTACAACCTTAAATTAACTTCAGACCATTAAATATTAAAACTTTTAAGCTGATATAAATGCAAACTATGTAGGTAGCTTTATCACCAGTGTATAAATTTCAATAATGAGAGATCTGGTTTGTTTAATTTATCTAGCATTCGGATTATTTCGTCAAATTTTCTAAACTTTGGCTGATGAATGATGAATGATGAATGGATATTTTTTTGGATATTTTTTACGAAGTAAAAATATATAAAATCAGTCTGAAAACTCTAACGATTTCGAGAACGAGTGAAATTCGTGTTTACTCACAACGCAACACAGCCAAGAGTTCAAAATTTATGACAATTCAATTCCATTCCTCGTCCATTTAACATTTGTAGAGGAAGACCGCTTGTTAGTTTAAGAGATTCTGAGAAAATTGCGATTGGGATCGTTTAAATCCGTTCATGTGAAATTGATACAGTCATATTAATGGTCTGTAAATTCATGTCCGTGCATGTAAAACCGCAATGTTTTAAAAACCTTTGCACAAAGTGAAACGTTCAAAATTGTGTTATTCGTTCCACACAAATCGCTTTTAATTATTTATTAATATTTCGAAAGTGGGATAGGTTAGCGAAAGGAAACGAAAGAAAGGTGTTTAGTTCTCACTTACCCAACAACACACAATCCGAGGCAGGCAAGCCAAGTTAAAGTTCCCGTCACATAGGTCGTCGCTGTTACAATGCTCTGTTTGCAGGCAGGACATGACATTGCCACCGGTGACTCGCCGAAGCCGATCGCAGAAATTGCAACAGCCGTCGGTTGCTGATGAATAATGGTGGTCGTTGTTGCTGTGCCAGGGTAGCCGGGTTGAGCTGCATAACCTGGGTAGCCGGGAGGAGCGGGCGGCGGATACGCTGGCTGCGTAGGGCCTCCATAGGCTGGAGGAGGGTACTCTGCTCCCGGAGGTTGCTGTTGCGGGTACGGCGAAGGTTTATTATCAGCCATGTTGTTTCGCTGTTATTGTTACGCGATGAAACATTAAGAAAACTCGTGATGTTTTGAGAGGCTTTCTAGTGACGTAGATCCTTGTTGCCAAGGATGTACAGAATGTTTGATTATACTACAATGATACGACATTTGCACCTGCAAAATCCCAAATTAAAAAAAGAAGTGGTCTACTATAAAAGACCGGTATAATTTCAAAATTCTTTTTTTTTCGGTCATTGTTTTGAAATCTTCACAAAACTTCCTGTTAAACACCAGCAAAATAAACCTGTATAAAGAGACAGAAGCCCTATTTTTCGCTCAAGCCGGTGAAACGTGTCTTTAATTATTCACATCAATCATCTTTGTATAACCGACCTGCGAAAAATGACAGGCATATTATCGTTTCGCTGGACAAGTTCATCACTGAAATCACAATAAACGTGGGAAGAAACATCAAAAAAAAAAAAAAAAAAGTGAATCAACGCTAATTTTAGCAGTTTCAGAGGAAATTCAGAAATTAACGTAATATATCGGAACACGATCGGGCTTGCAACGGAAAATACAAAAGGCTCTCAGCTGAAGGAAATGTACGCTGTGTGTGTTTATCGCACAAGATGCATTGGTGAAATTAGACCACAACTTTGTTCTTTATCTATCGTCTTGATAAAAGACGAATTCATATCGGCTATGTCGGTCAAACTTATTCAAAACTCTCTAACGTATTTCTGCATATTTATCGTTAAAACCTGTTATCCTTTTTAAAACGCATCAATTACTTAAATGACGTCAGTTTACCTAAAAATTTCCATGATCAATTTTTTACTCATGCAACCAAACACATTGTATATCAAGAGAAATAAACCGAGCTGAAGAAATTGAACTTCGAATTCCAGAGTTAAATAAATTTAATTAATATTCATGAAGAAACAGATGGATAAAATTTAAGCAAAATCAGTGGTCATAATTTTTTTTATTTTTTTATTTTTTTGGTGTGTTTAGTCGTAATAGTGTTTAACATCCCTCGCGGTATTTATACCCAGCAGAGTGTCATGAATATAATTGACTCGCTTTGGTGAAATGCTAACAAGTTTGTCACCAGATGCTCTGTTTGTTAACAGATGTACGATGGTAAAACCCTAAAAGGGTCTGTGCTAGCTTGAAATTGAAAACTGATGGGCCTGTCTGTCGGATACGTTTTCAAGAGTGTTCTCCAGTCTTGCGATGATTGCGTTCGACGTATGAAGACGCATTCTGTTCATTTCGTTATTCAGTCCTGCAAATATTTTGATATCCTTTGGGTCTCGGTCCGAAGTCAGACCATTTCAGCTTTATGACGCCATCTTGGACTGATTGACACACTTGGCCTCGATCTCATGCGGTTACCCAGACTCTCTTCGGTTTGGATGCCGCGGGAAGTGCAACCATTTGATCAAACGACATAAACCACTTTAATTTGGACCTTTGAGCCATTTAGCTACCATACGATGTTGGTAGGCCTAGTTATACAACGGATTTCATTACGTAGAGAAAAAAGTATCCATTCCTAAGCTTCACCAAACGCTCTTTGCTAATCCGGCCATGATTATACTTGGAGTGAAGTTTATGCAGGGTTTGTATGATCTGACAGGAGTGTTTTTACTAATCACAGAACTATCTTCGTGTACACACAGGAGTCACACAACACTCCTAGAGGAATATGAAGGTGAATTTGGAATATTCTGAAAGTTTTGGAATAATCAGGCAAATTATAAAGGATGTAGAAGCAAAACAAACTGCAAAGCTGAGTAAATTGCCAAGCCTTCAGTCCTTCCACGGAAATTTTATTCCATAGCTCATCTGGTACCCAGATCCTTAGCGCGCGATTGAAATACAGCTTGAACGTGGGCTGAGTGTAGAAGCAAAGCTTTTCTAGACCCGGAGAAGCTTTTTTTTCTTTGGTCGCTTGTCAGTCTTTTTCGGAGGAGGAGGGGGAGGGGAGGAAGGAAAGACTGGTTTAAACACGGCGATGACTAACTTTGAAAGACCTTTCACTTACGGAGAACCTTCACCGTAAAGTAGTTTGTGCTCTATAAAATAACCCATGTCATTCGTAAACATCGTCCATAAAAAGGAGGCATTCATTAACATCCTCTTTCGATTTATTTGGCCCTAACATTTAACTTAATAGACAACACATTAGTAAGACATATTGTTAAACGATAAAAATAGAACTATATTTAATCTGAAATATTGTAAGGGTTTCCATATATGGGTGTTGGGAAAAAGAATGAAAATATTATATTACTTTGAGCCATTCGATACAAAAATTATAATAAGACAGGTTGATTATTTCTTATTGCTTTTGTCGATCTCATCTAAGTACAATTTCTTTCACCTTTTTCTTATTGCGGTTGTGAATTTGGTACGAAAACAGTTGCTCCGTTTCTAAGGTGATCGGTGATTAGTTGTACTATTTTGCGATAAGCTGTTTGTAATTATGTCAATTTTCTAGTTGTAAATCTTTCTGGTAAAAGCTAACCTCGCACAGGAATTCCTGGAAACTCCTGCTTCTTATACTATTGATTACTATCAGACTGGTTTTTTTTGGTCAAATTCTAAAGTCAAATTCACGATTCCAGAATATTTCTTGAATTTTAAGTTAACACCTTCAACACCTCTTTTTAAAAAAAAGGTGACTATGATTGTAAATAGCTTATGCTTTTTCATCTCCGCACTGAATTTGTAATTATATTACTTATGCGAATAACACGTAGTTTTCTTAGGGGCGGTACCTTTGGTACACCCCTTCTTCTCCGAATTTTCTGTTTACTCTGTTGTTATATAACAATCTTCCAAGGCTATTTTCTCGTAAACTATCTTTTCAAGCGTAATTTCAATTCTGCCAATAGGTTAACTATAATTTTTATATTATCAATCTTGTCTTTGTTCTGGCCGATCTTAACCGTAAAATTAAGAAATTTAAGGTAGAAGATGATCTTGTGATAGCGTAAAAAATTCGAAGGTGCATACTTAGTATACAGGAACTGTCGTACGTACTCTAACGTGATTCGCTGGCTGAAACGGAGCGATCGCGATGTAAGAAGATTGACAGCTTAGAAGTGTCATCTTTGGTGTCACCTTTATAAGCTGGTGCACAGCATCTTTCAATCAGGGAATATAGCAAGGCAGAACAGTGTGGACTTATGTCCAAAGAAATAGGTAATAAAGAAAGTTCAACTGAGTGTTAGAGAGTTATTCTTCTAACAATATTCAATAGTATGTCTGGTGCGTTTACTATTTATCTCTCGAGCCAGTTTCCTTCCACGTCAGGAAACTGCTATTTTTCTTCTCTGGTCACAGAGTGAAAGATACTCTTCGACTTACGTTTTCACCCTTTACACCCTAACGTCAGTAAGCATATTCTCCATACAGTTCTCTAGACATCTCCTCAGGTGTTGACAGGGAGAATCTGATTACCAATCAAAAGCTTCTTTAGTAGGTGATCATTTCTTTTATTCTTGTGACCCTGATGAGTAATTCAGGGGGTGATAATGTAAGGAGAACTTATATGCTAATCACCCTCAAGGGTTAAAGGGTTAAAGCAATTGTCCGGGATTGCACTAGTTTTACTTTACTCAGCTCTGTGATTGGTCCACAAAACTTGCGCCACTTTTTTAACCAATCACTGAAGCAAAACTAAAACCAATCACGACTTGGTCGCCCGCGTTTTCCCGCGCTTTAGGCAGCTTGGCTGTATTTACTTCGAGTTCTCATTCGCTCTTCCTTTCTCTTGATTGGCTCTTGCGTCAATAGAAAAGCGCTCTGACGCAAATTAAGCCAACTACCCTCTCATACACTCATCTCAATTTATGGCTGATATTGTTGTGCTTTGAGGTCGGCGGTAACTGTCGACAAAATTGGGCCCCTTCCAAAAAATTACGTCCTACACGTGCTACTTTAAAAGAAACCACGAAAAACAATGTATCACTGAGAAGCTTATTAATAATAGATTATGAGAAGATTAGACTTTTAAATGTTATTTGTTTTGGTAGGCACGTGTAAGCCTTTCCAGGCGTACTTTACGTTCTTTTAAAGATTTTGTAAAATTTTCTTCGAATAAAAAGAATTCTAAAAAAAAGTGTGAACACTTTGACCAGATTTTGTTGACAGTAACCTTTAAAAGAAACCTTCTTCACCCAAAGGCTGAATTCCTCGCGTGGTTAACAGCTTCTAGAATGAAATACCTAACAAGACCACATGAAACTCCATATCTCCCAAATCTGATCAACATCTGAATTCTCCTAACAAAATCTATACTATATCCAGCAAATGTGTGAAGAGAATACACAAACTGATCAGCTAGAGGGTACAAAGTTCACAGAACACCAAATTCTCGTCATTATTTCAAAAAAAAATAAATGGCCCTTAAAAGTGAGAATTACAAATCAGGTATGGGTAGGTAAGTGTTGCACTGTCTAACGTCTCTTAATAACAAATTCTATTCGTTTCTTTCGACCATAGACTACAAGTTACATTCCAAAGGCGGTCGTTTCTCATCTTCTTTAAAAGGATATATGCCATCGATTTCATATTACATCCCTAGAGTCGAGGTCAGAGAGCATCCACAACGCGGAGATTGAAAATTGCGAACGCCACGAGGGATAGTGTGCGACTTCCGTATATTATAACTGATCAATTGATCATGTAGTCCTTGTTGCAAAAGGCACAGTTTCCTGAATACAGTGTCAATAACACGTCCCAACACATTATCACAATTAACGAGATCAAGTTTTCTCTCGTGACTAATCTTCACAGCAAGTTTACATAACTTATCTATCGCGAATTTTGATGTTCGTTAGCCACCAGCATTGTCTTGTGGCGAGACATTCAAAAAACTTCCATCATTTCTTCTGGTGAAAACTGCACGAAAGGATCATCTTTCAATAGCTCAGCGGCAGTGGGACGAATTTCTTGTTTTCTACAACAACAACAAAATGTAAATTAAACGTTAAGCGACTCTAAATCGTACCTCGAATCGAGTAAAAAAGCAATCCTGTTGGTCAGAAGAACGTTCAAATTAATTTCATGGTGAAAATGATGACGATAATTACAATAATGACGATAGTGATGGTAACAATGATCATGATAATAATTACGACAAAGGTAACGATGATGAAATAGTAATAATAACAATAATAATTATAATGATACTGATAATAATTTATAACAAAGGTAACGATAATAAAATGATGATAATAATAATAAAAAAGATGATACTGATAACAATTATAACAAAGGTAACGATGATAAAATGATGATAATGATAATAATCATAATGATGATGATGATGATGATGATGATGATGATGATGATGATGATGATGATGATGATGATGATGATGATGATGATGACGATGATGATGATAATGATGATAATAATAAAAGATGATAATGATAATAATCATGACCCAGGGTAACAATACAGAAATGATAATAAAAAACAATAATGACGACGAGAATGTTAATATCAAAACGATAGCCAAATAGATAAATACATAATTAAAAACTATTTTGCCACTCCACGTGGGTTTCTTGAGCAACAGATCACATTTTCTACCATTTTACCGTTATAATAACCACGAAAAAACGAGAAAAGCCTTTACACGAGAACACGCGAAAAGTTTATTAATCACTCACTTCCGGCTCGTGACTTACAAACGTTTCGAGCATCCTCCCGACATCTTAAGTGGGTATGATGCCAGTGCACCGATAAAAAGTGCTCTCTACTGCTTTTATTTTAAAAAAAACTTAAATGCCTCAATATTATATGGTTTTACCAGTGCAACAACCATGGGATTTTGACCAATCAGGGCGCTCGTAATATCTCGGTGATTTCAAAATAAGCTGGTGAACCAACAGAGAGATGTGGTGCAGGGGTTAAACAAAATTATTTAAAGAGAGACCATATACCTGAGGCATTTCTCAATAAATCCAAAAGCAATGGATGTACAGTCCTTCGGTGGCTCAACTTCGTGGTTGACAATCTTAAACATTTTTGCTTGCATCAATAAGTGTTCATTGAACATGGGCGGTTTGGTTGTCAACATCTCGACTACAGTGCAACCCACACTCCTTAAAAAATGATGTGATAATTCAATTAATATATACAAGAAGAAATTTCAGCGTACTCACTGGCTGAGAGCCAATCAATTAATCCTATATAGTGCAAAAAATTTGAAAATAAGTGTAAAACAGAAATTTATACTACTAAAAAGCAATACCTTCATTTCAAGATAACATTAATCCTTTTTCAGCTTCTTTTTCCCTTTCTGAAAATATTTCTATTTAATTACTGAACCGTTTGCACAGAAAATATTTTGGACTTTTGCCTCTGCTGTTGTCAAAGCTCCATCATACATCATACACGATCTATTAACGAACAGGCGAACGGCAACATGGAATATATTTGTTAAATGATGGTAGATTTGCGAGCTCTTTCAAGAAAATAGTTCACTAAAATTTCCAAGGGAAAAAAACCGATACACCATTTAACTGAAATCCATATCTTTCAAAAAGTATCAGAACTAATACCAAATATCAGTTTTCCTTCCATAGGATTGGCCAGAGAGCATTTCCGGGCTTGTCCAATGAAAAGAAGCCACGTTTCCTTGAGTCACTCTTCCACCGGTGACGGTTTTCAGTGCCTGTACATTCATGACATTAACTTGTATGTGAGGATAACCTTAAATTGAGTGTCTTAGTTCCCGTATCGCTATTAGCTACCCCTCTCTATAAGTACGAAACTCCTTCTTAACCCTCATCTAAACCATCAGGATTGGAAGAATCTCTCCTTTTTTTCTCACCAGTATCCATATTTATGAAATTTTCAACTCTGGATGTAGCACTTCTAGTATTCTGATTCGTTCTCTCAACTCCGGTTATCAGCTCATATTCCGAGTCACCTTCGATGGAAATGCATTGCGCCAACTGTTGGGGAGCTGAAAAAAGGCTCCAATATCCACACGTTCAGGATTTGATGAGATTTAATAACACAATTATTCAATTCTTACTTGTTGGATATGAGATTGGTCATAGCCAACATAGCGCGGCGCGTCTCGTTGGCCATTTACCATCTCATATCCAACGCGCGCTCATGAAATAAATGTTAAATATTCCTGGGTGGAGAGAGGCACCGTTACTTAACCAAGCACATATTGTAATGACTCAGCCAGATCTCAGTCTCTTAAGCTGGTGTCCACCACCCTAACCAGTAGACCACCCGATATCTTGGAGCGAGGAAAGATTTTAAACTGCAAACATAACCTCTAAAGACTCTACTTTCAAATTTAATCAATCAATAACAAACCAACCAACAAAATGAGGATCAAACAATAATGGAAAGAACAGAATATTTGCTTACTGTCATGACTTTTGAGATTCCAAAATCAGCAAGTTTTATGTTCTGTTGTTGCCCATCTAGCAGAACATTTGCACCTAAAATAATAGAAATAATAATGATGAGTAATGGTAATAGGACTAAGTGGAGTCCAATTCGGCCAGTAATCAATACCAGTGATTAACAAAATCGGACTGGTGCGAGGTGTTGGTCCGATTTGTTAATTAGGAGTAGGATTACAAACAGGATTGGACGACACGAAGTCCTGTTACCAATTACTTTTAACTATTAGAATTTCCGAAAAGAAAACAAACCATGCAAATAAGTCAAAATTGACAATGGGAAATACCTTCCATAACGACATTAACTTTTTAAAAAAATTTCTCAGTTTGTAGGGTAATTGGTTGTTGCTATGGTTATTGCAATCAATTCTGTGATTGGTCGGTTTAGCTGAGTGGTCTTCATATAATTGGTTGCTTAACTGTCTTAATACAGGATATTGGATTACAGCCAGTTGTTCGATTACAACTCCACAGAATAATAATATTACAGAACCAGAAAAATAAAGCAGGAACTGAACCAATCACAGTTGAGGAATTTGTAATAGTTATAATTATAATAGTAGTAGTAGAAACAATAGTAATTATGACAATTGCAATAATAGCAATGACAAAAATGACGTAAAAATAAAGATATTTACAGTAAAACCAATAATAATATAATAATAATAGTGATGACAAAATTGACATTTTGGGCATCCATAGAAACCTTTTTAAAAGGGGAAGGGGGATAGACTGGATCAATATCAGTATCTGGGCAACTGCCCACCTACCCCTCCCCTAGCCTAACAACAGTCAATTGATAACAAGTTAGGGTTAATGTTGGGTTAGGGGAGGGGTAGGTGGGCAGTTGCCCAGATACTGATATTGATCCGATAGACTTAACACTTTGTCCCCTAAGAGTGACCAGCATCTGCTTTCTCCTTACAATAACCCCCCTGAATCATACATTAAGGTCATGAGAATAAAGAAAATAATCACCAACAAAAGGAGTTCTTGATTGTTAAACAAACTCTCCTTGTCAGCACCTTAAGAAATGTATGAAGACCAGTGTGGAGAATATACACATTGATGTTAAGGTTTAAAGGGTAAAATAACCAATTTTAACTCAAGAGGGAATAGGAATGGCTGAGGATGGGAAAGATTAACACAGATTATCAAGAATAAACTTGAAGTTTTTACTGTAAGCTAAATTATTTCTAGCATAGCTTCTCTCAAAATAACCTTTGATGTCCTTGTGAATAATTCCCTTGCTGTGGAGGAATTCAACCCCGATAAGCATTTGCCAGGTAAACTTTCTGACAAGCAGCTCTTCCAAGGGTCCTTTCTGTCTTAACATGTCCTCCACAGAACCCTGCAAAAAGAGAGGTGATTAACATTCTGGCTCGACAGTGTTTAAACTGGTGCCTCCCAGAGACTAGTAAATAAATCTTTTCCTGACTAATTCAAGACACTACCCCACAAAAAAGGGTAAGAGGAACTTATCGGAGCCAGAGCAATATTTTTGCAGTGCTACAGTGACAAATTCCCACTCTATACACAGTGTAACTTTTAATAATAACCTGAATTTATGCCTTTTCTGATTTGTCACTGTCTAAAGTCTATCAGAGTACAGAAGCACAGCAACATCATAAGAACATTGTCCACATAGATCTCAACTAGAAAAATGAAATCACCAGCCTCCCAAATCAAATGTTTCATACAACGACTTGTCTGGATTAGATCTTCGCTCTATAGTTCAGTCAAAGTTACATGACTGTGTGCACTCAATTGCAGAGCCATTTACATCCAAAAAGCATAAATTGCCATTAATCAAGGCAAATATATCTTCATTCTTCTCCTTTCAGGAAAACATGGATGGCTTCCATCATTAACTATGTGCAATTAATTGAGGTTATCATGAACCTGTGTGTCCACAACACTATTGGGCCTTGACATTCATTGCTGATGCTATTCAGGTGTCAATGTTTTTGCAATCTATTGACCTTAGTAAGATTTTAATACCAATTTATCATCTGTCTTAACCCTCTACACTCTAACATAAGAATGCATATTGTCCATACTGTTTACTATACATTCCCAAAGGTGTTGATAAGGTGAATTTGCTTAACAATCGAGAGCTTCTTAAGCGGTGATCATTTCTTGTATTCTTGGGACCTTATGTGGGATTCAGGGGGTGTTATTGTAAGGAGAAATTAGATGCTTGTCACTCGGGGTCAAAAAGTGAGGAAATTTGTCAAACTATGAAGGCGTTTAACCAAGGTCATTAATTAAAAATAATTAGCTCCCAATCAACTTGATGTTCTCCTCCTACACTGATTTTAATCCTTTAAACTTACTAAGTGGACAGCATCTAAGTTCTCCATTCATTAAGGCCATGAGAATAAAGAAAATGATCGCCAACCTAAAATGCTCTGAGAGTAAAACAAATTCTCCCTGTCAGTACCAAAGTAATGTAGAGAGAGGAGTATGGAGAATATTGATCCTGATGTTGAGGTTAAACCTCACCCCTTCCATGTATTCCAGAAACAACAACATAGTGTTTTGCTTCTCCTCTGCATGGAAGAACTGCACAATGTATTTGTGCTTTACATCTGAAAGAACTGTTACTTCATTTTCAACTGCCCTTCTTTGCTAAAATTTACAAGAACAACAACAGCAACAAATTAATGATGAAACAGGAAATTACCTAGAGGCAGCTTACATGAGCATTTAACATGACATAACCTAGATGAAGGTGTGGAGAAGCATACCAATTGACATGAAAAAAATAAGAGTTTTACCAATTTCTAAAGCAGGAATAACAACCTTAACAAAATATTTTTTGAATATTTAGTTTCAAAATGACACATTTTACCAAATATATTTTATTTGGATTGTAGCTGTACACTTTAGTTGCTGGCATTTCCACTGAGGTAGAAGCTTCAACTTGCAACACTGAAACTGTTACAGTTGACAAACATTTTTCCACTTCAAGCCAAGAAATAATCCCTACAGGCGAGCTGAAAAGAGGCCAGCAAAAATTCAGGATTCCACAAGATTTGGTCCCACAACTTCCAGATGCTAATTGGGCATCATGACCAGCTGAACCACAAAAACATAAGTTGGAATAGTGGCAAATTTTAGAGGGTTCTTTGTCTCAGTACAGGAATCTGATCCCAGTTAAATGAAGTGCAAAAATCCTATTATTATTTAATTAACAAACAGTTGATAAAAATTTGCATACTATGCACCTTTTGAGTTTCCTCATGGTTTATTCCAAGATCACACATTTTAACTGCCATTTTTTTCCCAGTCTTTTTGCACTGACAGAGGTAAACCTAAACATCAATGTAAGTGTTCAACAAACAGAGGTCAGGGCATTTTTTTAATGTCTTTACTAAAAGCTAACCCATGGTAAACATCTAGCAACCCAAAACTACTCAACAAAACTAATGCGTTGGAAAAGTATCAAAAATCATTTTGTTTGACTCATGACAAACATGGTTCAAACAGGTGAATAAAGGATATAAGTTCCTGAAGAAACTGTGGTGCTGCGTCCGTATGGGAGTATAACACAGTAATTCTAGTCTTATCCACCCAGTTGATAAATGTAAATTGGCCACTGTAAAGCATTGAAAGCTGATATTTCAAGGGTTAGCCCTTCTTCAGAGCCCTTTGTTGCTCTGACAAAGGGCTAACACTTGAAACTTCAGCTTTGAAACTCTTGATGGTGGCCAATTAACATAATCAACTCTGTTGATAAAACCAAAATGATCAGGGTTTAAACAAGGTTTGAGTTACAATTTGGCCACAGGGGAACAGTTTCTCCCCTCGCTAAAATGACAAGGAATCATTTTTTTTTAATTATTATTACCAAGGTCCCTCTGGATAACAGCCATGTAGCTGCATGGGCCACCCTGGCTAAATAAAGTTTTATCTTATCTTACCTTATTTTAGGAAGGGGGAGGGGAGGGCAAGTGTTGTACATCAAGTGTCCATCAACAATACATTTAATCATGGATGCAAATGAAAAATCTGTACCTTAGCAAAACCGCCAGATCCTATCATTTTGATAGGCTCATACTTTGCAGGATCCAAAAAATTACCCATAGAGGAAACCTGTACTTTGAGATCAGCAATGGCTGGGATGCCTGTACTGATGCTTCCATTAGGAGGATGATCTATGGCATCCAGTCCAGCAGACCCTGCTGATGCAGAGTGCTCCTGAACCTGTCTTGCAGTTGAACCAGGAGGTCCCTGCGTTACAGCATCTGGTGAAAGTGGAGATTGAAGAGAGGGATTTTCCATGCTGGGTTGAGAGACTTGTACAGGATAACCAAGGGATGGGTCAGCCAGTGATGAATCAGTCTGTAGCCTCTGATTTGATGTATCATTAAAAGGGAGAAGATTACTGAACCCTGAGGTAGCTGTTGGTTCTTGGGGTAATCCATTGCCAACATTTGAAGTCACTGAAGGTCTGTGAGACGCACTCTCAGATGGGACAGCTGGAGGTAAAGGCTGAAAAGAGGGATTCACCATTGTGCTTTGAGGAAGTGGCCCTGGAGAGGAAACAGATCGGTCTATGCTAATAAGATAAGGAATAGATGGATTGACAACAATTGAGTCACTCTGTGATCTTTGACTTCTTGTAACAGATGGAACTGCTGAGGTTGAAGAGTGAGGAGGGGGATTTTGCCCAGTGCCTGAATGAAGTGGCCCGTAATAGGGAAGGTTTGGGTCGGCATATGAACCCCCTTGATATGTTGGAGCAACCCTTTGCAATGGCAAACCAGTCAGGTTAGGATGACCGGAAATGGCCTGCATTGCTGAGGGGGTTGGAGCTGTTTCATTATCCTGTGCAGAAAGGGTAGGTTGTTGCCGAATTGATGAATCCTGTCTACCTACAGAGGCCTGCTGAGTGGAGAGAGGTAGAGAAACTTGACTGGGTTGATACCAACCACCGATAAAGGATGGATCCAAACCACTTGTGGTGACTGGTGGGGCAGAGAAAGGTGGAAAGCTTTGATTTGGTGGAGTCCAACCAGGTTGGTAGGATGGTACTGGTCTCAGACTACTATATTCTGTTTGCTCTCCAGGGACACGTTGTGGAGGATAATTTGGCAAGACATGGCCCATGTCATTTAAGTTTGGAAAAGGCCTCTGTTCTGCTGTGAAGGAAAATTATTGATTTTAACAATCAAGTATGCTTGCAATATTGCCCAAAGTAAAGTGACCTTGAATATAAAGACTGCTGAGCCACAATTATCAAAACTGAGACATGTAATTTGATGTGAAGGATGATGTTAATCGATGAATGACCCAACCATACTCATACAAAAAGAACTGTGAGTGCTTGCAATAGGAGTTCAACCTTTGACCTTCTGATTAGTACTTCAGACGCTCTACCACTGTTATGTGTCATCCACTGAATAACTTCATCTTTTATTTAAATCACCAAGCTTAAAATGTGATTTGGAGTTTTTAAGGTTGAATAACTAAAAAAGAAAAATGCAAAGACTTGGTCTTCAATTATGATATTTGAGTGCAAAACAAACCTATTTCAGTCTGGTATTCATGTTCCACTGCAGCATCAATCTCTTCTTGCTGCTTCTTCAACGCATAATCTGTACAGAGAAAGACATCACTCTTAACCCTTTAACTCCAGGAAGTGGATAACAAGTACATGTAACTTTGCACTATAATATCCGTACATTATCCTGTAAACAAGTAATGAAAATACTCAAACTTATCAAGTAGAAGTTGGCCTCTTGATCCAACACCAAATTCTTGCTGGTAATTCACAAGGAAATGTGTTACAGCAAGAGGGGAGAATTGGCATCAGATCTTGGGACTCTATGGGTTAAGAATTAACCACATACACACTAACCGACTGCAAAATTTCACCTCACCACAATGCATATTAATAAAATGAGGTATCAAACATTTCCATTAATTTATTACAAAATATTTATCATGAGCTCTGGCCATTAAAGAATTGTTGGACCCTTTAACTCTTGATGTTGTTATGTACAGTGAATGAGGCCATGCTGAGAATTAAGAGCCAGACATTTTCCCCTGCAGCTCTAACTAATTCAGTCAAGAAGAATTTAATCATATGGCCATGGGCCTTTTTCTTTTCTCCTTTTAACTCATGGCTCTCAGAGCTGCACAGCTTTGCATCATCCTAATCAGATGATTGTATACAGCCCACACCTTTTTTTTTTTCTTCTAAATTTTTTCTACACTAAATATTAAACATTGCAGGAAGCTTCCACTGGTTGAACAACGAAAAAAAAACTTCCTGATGAAGGAGATTTGCTGTCTGGAAAATAATATATTATGGGAAAAAAAATTGGATCATGTGCTGAATTGTGGCTACCACTTCCGTCACCAAATAATTAGCGTTTTGATTGCAGGATTCTGTAATCTAACACACATGCAGTAGTGCCAACTTCAAAGCATCAGATGTTCCACCATGGCAGAACACACAAAATTCCAGTTCCCACATAGCTGATATTGGTATCAATTTTTTCTTACACAAGATGCTTCATGTCTGCCATAAGATTTTAACTAAAAGGGTCACTTTTGATAATTCATTGATACTTTGTTCCATCAGTGGAGCTTTCTTTTTGATATGATACCTCTCACTCTTTCAGACAAATCTCGTCTTCCTATAAGCTCAAGGGCTTTCCGTAATGCTTTAATTGTTGCGTCGACAGTTTTTCTTTTCTTCCACTCTTCAAACATTCCCACGCCTTTTTCTACAACTTTCCGATGTTCTGAGTCAATGTTGCTTAAGACACCTTCTGTAAGACCAAGACGTCTTCCCAACATTTTCCAGCTTGTGCTCAGATCTTCAACAAGATTGTAAACTAAATCTCCAGGAACAGGCTTGTCATCCCAACTATTTGGCTGTGCTGCTGTGTTGCCAAAAAACAAAGAAGAAAGAAATAACTTGAATCTTGATTATCCAGACTCATAAGGATTGGGCTGAAAATTCTATATATTTTCAGGAGTCCAGATAATCAAAAATAAGAATATTAATGAGCCAAACCTAGAGCTGAATACTTATCACTTAAATCACCATATCATGTACATCATTGTCAACTGACAATTGGTAAAAGTTAACATCTGATTGACACATTGTTAATATTTTTCAAAAGTATTTTCAAAAAGTCATTAAAGCTAATCAAAAACCTTCACAGCCTAAACTGATGACATAAATCAGTTTATTTCAAGTTGCTACGGCATTCTACATGGTGCAACATTCTTTGAAGCTCCATCAATGGAATATTGGCAATATTGATTCAATACATGAGCATTGTGTGATAGGAAAAAGTTCTCACAGATCTCAAATGTGACTAATTAAAATTTATAAAAAAGGGACCAGAGAAAAATGCTCCATAAGAGAGGTCCCAACAATTGAGGTTTGACTGTAAACAAAAATCTTGCAGAAAAGGTGTGTTTTAAGGGAATATTATCTGATCTGATAACAAATTCTCCAAACTGACATCAAAAGAATTGTATGCCACACAGTAAAGAGAATTACTAATGAGGTTTGTGTGTACTTACATGCTACCTGTCCTTGGCTTATCTGTGACACTGTTTCATTTTCTGTAAATACATAAAAATAAGACCTTGTTTTGATCCGAAAATTGACAAGAAAGCTTTGTTTAACACTTTTACATAATGGATATCTGCCATCAAACTAAAGTTTACTTGCCTCTCCCCTGAGTGGGGAATATGCTGAAGATTTTTGGTGTAAATTTGCCTGGCATATCATTCACTGGTCACAGAATTTGATGTCTATGCAGCAGAAGAATGAACTAAGGCAACATTTGGCTCAACATTGTTTTGTTGACAGGAGTATAACCATTAAGCTGGTGACTCACCAGGTGATTTTGTTTTCCTATTTCTGCAAATTTGATCACTGTAATCCATGCACAAAATGGCTAATATCTGGCATGTCAGATATCAATGATTTTTTTTACAATGATTGTGACAATCAGGGGAAATCATGGTCACAGTTCCAGGCACACCTGGCAATTTTTGCTGATGGCTGCCAATGCTGTATAAAATCAACAGTTTTATCACCAGCTTTAGCTATTTTACCGTCAAGGTTTTCAATAAAAGCCAATAACTAACAGTCTACCGCTGCCTATAAGACCTTTCACTTCCATCTGATTAGCCTGAAAGAACTCTTTTTGATGCCCAAAATTATTAACATTACATTTTCTAAGCTCCTCATTTAAATTTTTGTGGTGGAGCTGGCCCCTAGTTACCCCTTTGGAGAAAAATCTCACCAACTGTCCTATCACACTGTCCAATTACAAGCATGATGTGTACACTGTCCTTTCAGTGCTCAAATCGGGCTGGTGATAACCAATCATATTCAAAAATTTTGCTATACTTTTGATTATATGTGGTACTGGTAAATAGAAAGAGTGATTAGCTATTATGTGGCACTGGAGAAGAAATGTCTTTGGCTGACCTGTGACATCATGCATAATCTCAGACCCTTTTACAACTTTGGCCTCTTGTCAGAAGAGTAGAATTTTGAAGCCCCAAGTATATCTTACATATCAGGTTTGTGTGTAAAGTACTTCGGATGCTACAAGAGCCGGGAATTGGAGCTCAGTATTTGTGACAAGAAGAAGAGGCTATGCTGTAGTTCCGCGGACGGAAGTTGATTTTCCAATCAAACCGATGTTATACTTTCCAATCGAGCTCTTAAACTCATACGTACAGAGAGACAGAAGATTAAAAGTAATGAATCTTACTCCTTACGTAGCAAAGCGATGTATTTAAAGTTACTTTCACATTTTTACTACTGTCCGTAAAATTGGCTTAGTCATATCCACGGATTGATTGCAACGTACGTTTTGCGACTTCACTATACAATCAACAAACGCAAGAAAGTAAATACCCTTACCTTGAATCCCTAAAAGTTTATTCCTCAAGTCATTTCTATTGATAGCAATAAGTTTTGAAGCCAAAAAGTCTCGATTCTCCTCCGAAAGCAAGTTCAGACGTTCAAGCTCGGAGAAGAACTCGAATGCACGAGTAATTTTCTCTGCTCTTCCGGCCGGAATGACTTCCACGCAGAGATATTTAAGCCCAGTTACATCTTCAGACGTTAAATGATTTGAAATATTCAACAGAAGTGCTCGATAATCACTCATTTTACTAAGTTACCGAGTTAATTCATCAACCAGATATTCTTTCGAAGACATCTTATTTAGCAAACTCGTCAGGGAACTTCCCCGCGCGCAGAAAGGATTATGGGATGCAACGTCACTTTCTTCCGGTTTTGCTCAACGCAAACTAATAGACTCGTGGAATGAACTCATGGAATGAACTCATGGAATGAAGAGTGGAGTTGCTGAATGCAAGTAAGTAGGCCTGTTCAGCCTGTGCTCGCAAAATGGTGGAAAGATTCTTACTAGAATGCCAAAGAGTTTCTAAAAGAATCGCCAAAAATCCTAAAAGTTACGAGTTGAAGTTCGTGATATTTTATTTCTAACATTGGTCAAGAAAAGTGGCTTGAAACTTAGCTTTAAATAGTTGCTAGCAAATATAGGCAAAACTTTTGGACACTCTTGCTACACATGGTTCTCTTGACGTCTTGTCGAACGATGTGAGGGAATTTGAAGGTTACGCGTTCCAAAGGTTGATAAACATTCAGGAAAATCGCATACATTGCTCCCCCGGATAAGAGTGGTTTTCTATCAAATCATCGACTCTTTTATAATTGATATGTACTCTTAGTTCTGGGCTTCCTGTATACGCTGGAGGTGAGGGGGCCGTCAGGTTCTCTTAAAACTGCAGTGTCTATGAAGGCGAGTTTGTTGTCTTTCTCTTTCTCCATGGCAAGGTGTAAATCGGAGAGACTGGAAGACCTATGCGAGAAAGAATTAATGAGCACGATCGAGACATCCGGCTCGCCCGTACCGAGACCTCCGCCGTTTCAGAGTATGCCCACAACACCGGACACAAGCCACTCTGGAAAGTAAAGTTTATTGATCGTGACCCTTATTACTACAGTGCAGGGTCAAAGAGGCAATTCATATAAGACTTCACCCTGACAACATCAACAGGGATTGTGGAATAGAAATTCCAGAAGCGTGGATGCCCACGATTAAAAAACACAACAACAGGAGAGCCGTATGACAGCGGACCGCCGAGGGAGCAAATCACTGAATGAAACAGCAAGGATCGAAATGTACCGATCAGAGCTGTTGAAAAACAACTAATCACAGCAGAGCATCATGCTTTACAAGATCGCGCATGCAGTCGACCTCATTGCCTGAAGGAGACTAGCAGTATGCAGTATGAGACAAACGAAAAACTTAGCTTTTATTAAATAAATGATTGTCTACAGTTTCTGCTTGACCGGACTGTAAGAACCCGGTCCTTTATCGATGATCGCTGGTCCTAGCTCAATATGCGCACCGTTAATTCAAGTTCAATGGAAGGGTTAAGTTTTGCAATCTCGACGAAACATGCGCTCGAAGTCCATGTGGTTTCAGTGGGTAATGTAGGCTCTCTTTCCACCGTTTTAAAGCTAAGTTGATTTTCCTTTTCCTTTCCGGAGCCTATTGTCAATTGGGGTAAGAAGGGATGGAGGGGCGAGGGCTTGAAAACAGGAGACAAACAAAATAAAATGTCGTTCTCATAAAAAAGTAGCGAGCGGGGGACTATTTGTGAGAGTGAAAGGGTTAAAAGAGAAAAGAATGTCAAACTAGGAAAAACCAAAAACCCTGTTAATAACAAAACCTAAATTAGGAAGATTTTGAGTGCAGAGATAAATAATCGATTATTACTCGGGCTTTCCAAAAGAAACGCTCGAGTTGAAATTCCGACTTGGTTTTTAAGTTATTTTTTTTTTATTAAAAAGAAATAACATCTATGTTAGCGTACAGAAAGTGGTATGTTGCTCGCACCAATCAAATTGTTTAGGGTATGTATCTCGCACCAATCAGAGCGTCGTTTCTGTTCTTTAGTTTGAGAGATGTTCAAATTTCTACGAAGTACTGGGGATTTGGAGAGAGCGGTTCGTAAATCGGAATCATCTTTTAGAATGAGAAATGTTGGCTTTTCTGTGTTTTTAACGTGTTTTTTACCGCGCTTTACGAGAAATGCGATACTACTGGACAGATGAAAGATATCAGATTACCTATAGTAAACGTGTTACTCGTGCTGTGAAAATGGTGGATAGTTGTTCGAGAGAAAATGGAGTTCTGTTCATCGTAGCGCGATCACGGTTATTGTTCCCTCACGACGAGAGTGAGTGGAAAATTTTTGAATCAAATATTGCTTGAGGTGTTGATGAGTTGCACCAAACATTTTGATTTGAGCAGTTCTTTAACGGAAAGCTGTGTTGCAAGATTCATCATTTGTTGAGTGTGTCGATTATATTTTTCTGTATTGGTTTGCTCGGTGCCATCTCTAGATTGCTCACCCTTAGATCCTTGATTGCAAGCGTTAGTTCATCAATCTGTGACTTGCTTTCAAAACTCTCTCTGCATTTTCTACAGATACCTGTGCAATGGTAATAGAAGAAAAAGTTATGAGAACGATAACGGTAATGATAATGACAATGATGATAATAATGATGCCGATGATGTTGATGATGATAATGACGACAATGATGATGAAGACGATGACGACAACAACGATGACGAGTAAAATGACTTTCAGTGAAAGTTAATTTTGACATGGAGCTCTTCCTTCCCATGATCGAAAAAATGACTACAAATGGTGGGAAAGTAATATAGAAAGAACAAACTTGGCCCAGCCCGAAGCCGTCAAACCTTCGACGTACTTAATTCAAGGTACGAGTTACTATTATCTCTAATCTGGACCTGAACCAATTTAGGACTCACGCAGCCAACAATTTATGTCTACTGAAAAATTGCATTTCTTTAAAAGCACACTTTGAATTTAGTGAACAAATGTATAAATGGGCAATGTTCTCAGTTTTTTAAGTACTATTTTACTTTCAATAAGCATTTATATAGCCGTGATACTCGCCAAAAAAATTTAATCCATCTACCTTCAGTACGGACAGAAATTGCAAAACGATCGTTTTATTACTATGGTCCATAGTTTATAATTCATCAAAGTAGAGTAATTTTTATATACATAATTTTAAATTTAGAAATCTAAAGCCTTATAAATGTGTTTTATATCTTCGTGTTTGTATTTCGCATGAAATTGTAATGTATTTTATTCAGTTTATACTCAGGGCTCCCATTGATAGCAGGTGGCTCTTTAGGGCTTCTGACGGGGCTACCCTGAAGTTTATTTTTATTTTTAAATGAAGGTATCAATCTATTTAAAAGCACCAATATCTGAATACATAGAACAGATATATTACACAACAATTATCTTTTTTGCAATAGGGTTCATGAAAGCCATACCTGAACCTAGAGGTACAAGGATGCCGGTTCTCTGAAATATAACTTTTGATATCGCTCTGCTGATGCCTCTGTCTACCTTGACATCTCTTTTCCTTTGCCGTGGGAAGCGATCTCATCTGGAATTCCGCAGGTATTCTGGCTCCTTCGCCATCCAGTGCCAAGCTCAGAACGGTGGAATGGACAATTTGTTAAGGCATTTATATCCTTTGCACTCATATAAAAAATACCTGCTTGGACAAGGATAAGTTCACTCTCGTTCTCAACTCCGGCAAAATACTAAGCACTTTTATGACCCAGTACATCCTTTTTGCACGACACCAAGGGAACCACCTCAAATAATTTACTCCTGTCTCGTCGGTCGTACGAGCAAGCACTTCCAACTATAAACTTAAATGAGCAAGAAGCTTCCATTTCATTCACAAGTGAGACTTCCGATTCAAATGGGGCGGGAAATAGTTATTTTTCTTAGCTTCACGTGAGAAAAATCGAATGGAGCAATGTTTATTAAGTTCTGTTAATTTAGTTAATTGTCTCGCTTTTAAGAGCGCTTGTCTGTAAAAATCAGACAAATTTTAAATTTCGCGGCAAGGGTGAAAAATTCGATTTCTTCTTTATTTTAACATTAGATAGGCTAGACTATAACTAAACTACTTTTTTTGGCAAAATATCTTTTTATTTCAGAGAAAAATACGAATAACAAAATTCCGTTAAAATCGTCATTTTTAACGGCAAATTATTGCACAAGTTTGAGGGCTTCGCATTCAAAATCGAATCACAATCTCGTCTTTTTAACACTCAAATCTTCTTTTTCAACCTCATAAGACCTCACAAAACGATTTTTGTAAGCACTGCGTTCCTCTTTGCGTGTAAAATAATTTAATTTCGAAAGCATACATTTCTCTTCAGTAAAAGTACTTCGTGAGTAAATTTAATTTTCAGCATGTGCTAAACCTTCAAATTGATTAAGCTTTGGGCGGTAGAATTACGAAAAGATGTTCTCAATATTACTGTAAAAATTTCTTTGGGCAAATAATTGAGAGCGCTACGAAAGCTTTTCAAAGTCCGTTAAAATGCAGTTATTTGACCTTTCGCGGTCAACATTCCAGTCGCGAGTCACACACATACTTTAATATGATTCAACCCATATGAGGCCGGAAAATGGACATGGGTACACATTTCCAAATGCTCTAACCTCATTTGCCTTAGAAGAAAGATCCAAAGACCATTTTAATATGGTTATCTCGACGCTCGTCGTATTTATAACGTCTGATGAAACTGCCTGTCAATCTACGAACTATCACCAGCCTTCGTTATAAAACGTTTGACATCTTTGTGCACTGTGACATCTTATTCAGCGGTTCAGTTGACTGTGAGTGTTGTTCGGTTTGTGGTGCAGTAGATCTGATCGATGCTTTTAAAAGTGGCACTACACAGAGCGCCAAAAAAACAAGAATAATTCCCTACAATAAATAAATGTATTTTACTGTTTGTCACCAGACAAAGATGACACTATTACAAAAATTTTTACAGAATAAAATATTTTGTGGGTTCCAAGAGTTCAATTCTGGTAGCACTTAATTATATGGAGTTTTGCCCTTCACCTACCCCCTAAAGTTCCTTTGAGATCGAAAAAGAATATTTGAGTGTTTAAAAGACGAGATAGTGATTCGTTTTTGCACGCGAAGCCCTCAAACTCGTGCAATAATTTGCTGCTAAAAATGACGATTTTAACGGAATTTCGTCATTTGTATTTTTCTCCGAAATAAAAAGATATTTTGCCAAAAAAAATATCCAGTGATTTTAGTTATAGCCTAGCCTATCTAACATTAAAATAAGAAAGAAATCGAATTTTTCACCCTTGCCGCGATATGTTTGATTTTTACAGACAAGCGCTCTTAAATAGAAAAGTCGACAAACATTATAGTTTTACTCACGCGTAAAAACCCCACTCGTAGGTCCAAATTATTCTGTCACACGAGCACGACGACTCGTACCGCAATTATGTAAATTAGGTCACGCAAGCCCTCACGTAACTCCTGCAGGGGCCTCTGTGAGGTAACATTTCGTTTACCGAAGGCTAATTAAATGACACGGGTTAGCAAGTCAAACAAGGGGCAGAAACTTAAGATTCGTATGCGAGAGACCAGCAAAGCTTTTAATCGTATACCGTGGCTGGCACTGGTGCATAATCGTACTAGACAAAACGATAACAGAATATCTCTGCAGAAACAAACTTCAAATGACAAAAGACAAATTAATTTAACAAAATTGGGTATAAATTTTTTATTTGTTCCTGAAAAAGTTCTCCTGTACGATTTTGAGTAATTTCAAAGGCAGGAATGCTCTTTAACTCTTTGGTCACGCAATCTACATATTGCGTGATTTTATGTCTTCCGTGTGCTATTTTGAAGAGTTTCCTGCGTCGCGAGAAAGCATTTGCCCAAAGAAAACTTTACGCCATTTTGAAGATCATTCCTTCGGCAATTTACATATGCAATTTGGTAGAATTCTGAATAATGACACATGGGGAAAAGAGAGGTTTTCTTCACCGACATTTTTTAGTAACGGAAGAGAGCACATTGTTCTTTCGCACGGCCAAAAGCTTCTAAGCAACCAATTCCTACACAACTTACCTTTTACAGACAAAGAAGAGTCTATGAAAGAGCACACGTTAATAAGATTTCCCTAGACATAATATCTTTGAAATGCGAAGCGAGCAAAAGTGTTCAATTTTTGACCTGTTATGACCCGATCCATCGATTCTAGAGGGTGAGATATAAGGAATATAAATAGGATGGTTTCTCAAAACAGTTTGAATGAAACCATAAACTTTAGTCTAAGTTGTGCTGTAGCTCTATACTCTCTTTGCTACTCTGTATTGAAACCATGTAATTACTGGAATTACAACTAACTATTGCCCACCATTGTTGACTTCGGCAAAAAGATGTGTTGTAGATCAAGTTTAGAACACAACCAGCTATCACCAGCTAATCTTCCAAGAACTGTAGATGTTTGTGGAATTGAAGTAAATTTAGATAATTTGTTTGAGAGTGAAGGACTGTTAACTGATTCACTTCAAAGCGAGTCAATTCTTGAGAATGAAATAATACATAATAGTGCATGCACAGGGTTTTTGATATCATTTTCTTCATACTGCATCAGATGTATCTTTAAACCCACAAAAAGATCAAAATATATGTATTCCATTCTGCTTTATAATGAAAGAAAAACGTCCCCTATTCAGTACACCAAAAACATAAATGGTACAGCTTCACTTGTTATGCCATTAGAAAAATACAAGGGAAATATAATACTCCAGGGCAATACAGAATACTGTTTGCTACATGTTCATGTAAAGTAGTGAACAGAAAGGAAAGAAAAAAATTGATGATTACTCATAGAAAAAAACAATACCATAAAGCAATGGAGCCACCAGAGAAAAATATTTTCATGGAGAAAAAACAATTTAGGGATATGAAAAGTAAACAGGAAATACAGAAAGAAAACTCCCAAAAATACTAAACAATGGATACTGTATATTCAGTATCTTTAGAATGCATTAGCCTTGACTTAATGGAATGATTATCACCCTCTGTTTGTGAAGCAGTTCTGAATCTATTTAATAACTCTGTGAATGGTTGGTCATCCTTTTGCCTCATATTTTTGGTCAACTTTATTTTCTTTAAAAGTAGCCAGGGATGGCACCAATTGTTAACATTATTTTTATATTCTTCAAAGACAAATTTTCTCAGAATTGGTGGAAGTTGATACAAATCAGCTACTGTAATAATGCAAAGTCCTGCAAATAGGTAGTTGTTTGATGTTGACAATATTTCATTTAGTTGTTGATGGATGTGCAGTAGCAAAGTATTTGATACCATAGAGATTCTTCACATATTGTCAGTTTTAAATCTGAGAATGCCACTCTCTCTCTCTCTTTTTTTTTTAGTCTGACATTGGTGTTATATCGTCACCCAATTCTTTGGGGATTGCATACCAAGAGAAAAAACAGTTACAGGATAAACCAGTAATTGCATAAAAAAAAAAACTTTGGCAAATGCAAGCCCAAAAGCAAAATTTATTTACAACAGAAAGCCCAGGTGAACACAAATATGCGTCTAGTTTTGATTACATTCACTGTTACAGTATAATATGACCAACAGGAAAACACTACAATCCTTCAACCTCAACTACTTTATTAAACAATGAGAGATATTCTTAGTAAGGAGTGACTCTTAAAGGCAGCACAGTACATATGCTCGATAAACTTGCTTAAGCCCACTATAGTCTATATCTCAGCTCACCACTGAACCAAACTCACAGTTTCCTCTGTTTCTTGAAATTAGCAGTCTTTCATTATAACTCTCTGTCAAAGTATAGCTTTCTAAACAGTCAGTCACTCCTGACAATAACAACAACTACTACAACATGCATAACTAAGTCCTTAAATACATTCACTAAGTGTTCTAAAACAATTCAGAGAAGCTTACATAAGAACTATTTCAGTACTATTAAGTAATAACTGCATGATTTGATGAAATGTTCCAGGAAGTTCTATGATACACATGTCAGCATAACTAGGTGGTCTGGATATTTCTAGAAATTTACAACAATATTTACTCATAACATCACTCTCTGGGAAAACTGAGTGCATTACTGTAAGGACAAATGACTTTACTGTGTATGGAGAAATTGCCAATTTGTAATGTTGTATTGAGCTTGATAAAGAGAAATAAACTCTCTACACCACATCACATTAAGAGAGTTTCCAGCACGGGTCTCTGCCCCTACAAATGTTCACATCACTAAAAAAAACAAAACACCAGTTGAACAAATATGGGGAGCCATTTGTGCCAAATTATCAATTCCTAGTGATAAATTCAACCATTAGTGCCAAAATATCAATCGCTAATGATAAAACTCGATCATCAGTGCTAAAATATCAATCACTAGTGTGGCGCAAAGCACAAACCTGGACTGAACATTAAAAAGTTTTGTTATAGTTTTACCCTGTAGCTCTGTGATTTTATTGTCATCGAAACTCAACAACTAGTGATAAAACTCAATTGTTTGTGCCAAAAAATATCAATCTCCAGTGATAAAACTCAATTGTTAGTGCTAGCAACAAATCATAATTGTATATCAATTTAGTTTCCATTCTAAAATGGTCAATCATTAGTGCAGAACCTCAATCCTTTGTGTTGTTGTACCAGATGCTGCTGTGAGACAATTAAAAGCATTAATATGTTGTTGAATCTCTATGGCTTGTGGTATTTGTAGAATACAGAAATTTAATTACTTTGGGTTTTTTTATAAGTTTTTTGTGGAGACAGTGATCTTATCAGCTTTTGTAATTTTTTTTAGAATTACAATAACTTTTCAATAAGGATTTATTGAAAAAAAAATTCTCTTCAAAATATTTTTTTGGATCTCAATGTCCCTTATCAGCTAGATTACAAAAAAGTAAGCAAGATTTGATTGATTCGTCTTCGCTATACAATTGGGAGAGTGGTTAGAATAAAAGTAAGAATAGAAAACAAATTGATACCAGTGCTTTGTGCTTATCCCAAACAATCGGTGGCAACGCTGACAATTGACATTGTTACAATTAATGTGTTTTACAAAAATTTGTGCATGCTTCCATTGGGAGGATGATCTACGGCATCCAGTCTAGCAGACCCCTCTAATGGTGGCAATGCTGACAATTGATATTGTTACAATTTATGTGTTTTACAAAAATTTGTGCATGTTTCCATTGGGAGGATGATTTACGGCATCCAGTCCAGCAGACCCCTCTAATGCAGGGTGCTTCTTCACCTGTCTTGAGGTTGAACCAGGAAGTTCCTGTGTTGCAGCATCTGTTGAAGTGTGGTCTGTCAGAGATGCAATCTCACTTCCAGAGGGAGCAGCTGAAGGTTGAGATTGAAGAGAGGGATTTTCAATGCTGAGTTGAGAGATTTTCACAGGATGACCTGGGGATGGGTCAGTCAGTGTTGAATCAGTCTGTAGCCTCTGATTTGATGCATCATTGGGATTATGCTGACCTGCCACACCTGCTGTGGAAACAAAAGGGGGAGGATTACTGAACCCTGAGGCAGCTGTTGGTGCTTGGAGTACTTCATTGCCAACATTTGGAGTCACTGAAGGTCCTTGTGATGCACTCTCAGATGGGACAGCTGGAGGTGAAGACTGAGGAGAAGGATTCACCATGGTGCCTTGAGGAAGTGGCCCAGGATAGGAAACATATTGGTCTATGCTAGGTTGAGACTTTTGTACATGATAAGGACTAGATGGATTGACAAGAGTTGAATCACTTTGTGATCTTTGATATATTGCATCACTGGAACGACTTAGCTGACCTGCTCCAGATGCTGAGGGGATAACAAGGGAAGGATTACTGTAACCTGAGGCAACAATAATTTGTTGGGGCTCTACATTGCCAACAGTTTGAGACACCAGAGGTCTTTGAGATGCAATAACAGATGGAACAGCTGTAGTTGAAGAGTGAGGAGGGGGATTTTGCCCAGTGCCTGGAGAAAGAGGCCTGTAATAGGGATGGTTTGGGTCAGCATATATAGCCCCTTGATATATTGGAGCAGCACTTTGAGATGGCAGACCAGTCGGGTCAGGATGACCAGAAATCCAACCACCCCTAGTGGCCTGTGGGTTGGAGAAAGGTGGAAGTCTTTGATTGGATAGATCCAAACCGCTAGTGACATTTGGTGGGGGCGAGAAAAGTGGAAGGCTTGGATTTGATGAAGTCCAAGGTTGGTAGGGTGGTACTGTACTACCAGACTCAGTTTTCTTTCTGGGGTCACAATGTGGAGGAAAATTTGGTAAGACACTGCGCATGTCATTTAAGTTTGGGAAAGGCCTCTGTTCTGCTGTGAAGGAAAATCATTGATTGTAACATTCAAGTATGCTGGCAATATTACCCAAAACAAGATAACATGATTACAATGACTACAGAGCCACAATTATCAAAACTGAGACAAGTGACTTCATGTTAAGGATGATGGAAATGTGTAGCAGCAAGAGGGGAGAATTAGCATCGAATTTTGGGACTCCAGGGGTTAAGAATCAACCACATACACGCTAACCAAGTGCAAAATTTCACCTCACCACAATGTATATTTAATAAAATGAGGTACCAAACATTTCCATTGATTTATTACAAAATATTTATGACAAGCTGTGGTCATTAAGGAGTAGTTTGACCCTTTAACTCTTGAGGTTGAGATGTACAGTGAATAAGGCCATGCCTGAGGATTAAGAACCAGATATTTTCCCCTGTAGCCCTACCTAATTCAGTCTAGAAGAATTTTATCATAAGACCATTCATCTTCCCTTTTTTTCCCTTTCTTCTTTTAACTCATGGCTACAGGGCTGTACAGCTTTGCATTGTCTTGGTCACATGATTGTATACAGCCTATGCCTGGTTTTTTTTCTCATCTAATTTTTTGTTAAGGGCCAAATAATATCACTGAATGATGATCATTACAAGAAGCTTCCTCTGATTGATCAAGAAAAACCTTAGTTACTGCATGATAATGGAGATTATGGAAAAAAGACATTCTGGATCATATGATGCTCTGTGGTTACCACTTTTTTCATCAAATTATTAGCCTTTTCATTGTAGGAGTCTGTAGGGGATAATGCACATAGCAGTGGCAACATCAAAGCATTAGATGTTCCAACATGTCAGTACACACAAAACTCCAGTTCCAAAATAGCTGATATCTGTTTCAATTTTTTTTTCATACAAGTTTGTCATCAAATTTTAATTAAAAAGTTCCTTTTTATAATTCATTGATACTTTGTTCCATCAGTGGAGCTTTCTTTTAATATAATACCTCTCACTCTTTCAGACAAATCTTGTCTTTCTATAAGCTCAAGGCCTTTCGGTGATGTTTTCATGGTTGCATCACCAGTTTTTCTTTCTTCCAACCATTTTATATGCCAATTGTAGCGATCAGAAGAAATCACAGATGGGCACAATCCAGGCACACCTGGCAATTTTTGCTGATCACTGCCACTGGTGTATAAAATTGTCAATCGTGTTGCCAGCTTTAGCTATTTTACAGCCAAGGGTATCAATAAAAGCCAATATTACTGGTAGTCTACTGCTGCCTATAAGACCTTTCACCTCCATCTGAATAGCCTACAAGAACTCTTTTCAATGCCCAAAATTCTGAAAATTACATTTCCAAGCTCCTCCATTTAAATTTTTTCTGGGGGAGCTGGCCAGTTGTTATCACCTGGGAGAAACATCTCAGCAACTGTCCTATTACGCTGTCCAGTTACAAGTAGGACATGTACATTGTTCTACTAGTGCTCAAATTGGGCTGATGATAACCAGTCATGTTCGAGAGTTTTGTTATAGTTTTGATTATCTGTGATACTGGTAAATAAAAAGAGTGATTAGCTATCATGTGGCTGGAGAAGAACTATATTTGGCTGACCTGTGACACCATGCATACTCTCAGACCCTTTTACAACTTTGGCCTCTTATCAGCCTTAACAGTAGAATTTTGAAGCCCCTAGTATATCTTACATATCAGATTTGTGTGTAAAACAACTCGGATGCTACGTGGGCCGTGAATTAAAGATCAGGGCCCAGTTGTTCGAAGGCCGATTAGCGCTAACCCAGGGTTAAATTTTAATCTGCGTTTCTTTATTCCTTTACTCAAAAGCCTTTTTGGGAAAATTTTCAGTGTCCTTTTTAAAGCATCAAGTAGTCATACTCTAAACAAAAAGAATTCGACTGAATTTTCTTGTAAAGCTTTTAGATCTGAAATCGGATTTCACACTAACCCTGGGTTATCTTAACCCAGCTTTGAACAACCCGGCCCAGTATTTGAGACATGAAGAGGCGGCTAAGCAGTAGTTCCGCGGGCGGAAGTTGATTTTCCAATCAAACCGATGTTATATTTTCCAACCAAGCTCTTAAACTCATACGTATAGAAAGACAGAAGATTAAAAGCAATGAATCTTACTCTTTACGTAGCAAAGCGATGTATTTAAAGTTAGTTTCACATTTTTACTACCGTCCGTAAAATTGGCTTAGTCACATCCACGGACTGATTGCAACTTTCTATTTTACGTCTTCACCTCAAAATAACACATAAAAAAGAGCATTGTACAATAAACCAACCCAAGAAAGTAAATATCCTTACCTTGAATCTCTAAAAGTCTATTCCCCAAGCCATCTCTATTGATAGTATTGAGCATTGAAGCCAAAAAGTGTCGATTTTCGTCCGATAGCAGCTTCCGACGTTCAAGCTCTGAGAAGAACTCGAGTGCACTAGTAATTTTCTCTGCTCTTCCGGCCGGAATAATTTCTTTGCAAAGATATTTAAGCGAGGTAAGATCTTCAGCTGTTAAATGATTTGAAATATCCCACAGAAGTGTTCGATAATGACTCATTTTACAATGTTATCAAGCTAATTTGCTAACTACAGATTCTCCAAAAGACTTCCCCGCACTCAGAAAGGACTGTGGGATGCAACGTAACCTTCTTCCGGTTTTTTCTTGACAAACATAAAGAGACTCATGGGATGAACTCATGGAATGAAGAGTGGAACTGCTGAATGCTAGTATGTAAGGTATCCGGTCGTTCCCAGGAACTTTCCGCCCGAACTTCGAAGTCATTTCGCCCGATGTATATATCGTCTTATCTATGTGTTGAGTAGAGTTCTTTAACATGGTATCTTAAATAAAACTAATGTTTTCTGAATTTTTGTAACGAAGCACAGCATGAATGGTTTAATATTTTTGCTGAGTTGTATACTGACTTTTGATCGCAGAAGTTCCGAAGGAGTTAAATATTCCAGCGCTTGAATGGGCAGTTGTTTTAATAACACGGTCAACAAATATCTACAAACATTACTAAAAGAAATCAAAAGAATGGAATAACAGCTTTATCTTTGTAATTTTATGCACTGTTAGTTCGTCGGGCGGATCGACTTCGGGTGGATTGTCTTTCGGGCGGAACGACCGCAATTCGTAAGTAAGCATGTCCCGCCTGTGCTCGTAAAATGCTGAAAAAAATATTTCTAGAATACCAAAAAGTTCCAAAAAAAGTTGCAAAAAATCCCAAAAGTTACTGGTCGAAGTTCTTGATATTTTACTGCTAACACTGGTCTAGAACAGTAGCTTGAAATTTGGCTTTAAAGAGTGGCTAGCAATATTTTAGGACACTCTTGCTACACATGTCATGGTTCACTTGACGTCTTGCCGAACGATATGAGGGAATTTGACGGGTTACGAGTTCAAAAGGTTGATAAACATTCGCGTGAAATCGTATACACTGCTCCCCCTGGATAATAGTGAATTTTTCTATCAAATTATCGACTCTTTCTTACCTGATATGTGCTGTAAACCTATATTTTGCTCAAAAGTTGCCGTGCACAAAAGGGACAGGCCTACCAGTAACAGCGACTCACCTTGTGTGGACCGAACCAGCATACTGCAAGAACCCAGCACTTTGACGATGGTCGCTAGTCACAACTGAAAATGCGCACTTTAAATTTAATGTCAATGAATGAAGTTAAGTTTTGCAATCTGGACGAGACACTCGCACGAAGTCCATATGGTTTCTTCAGGTTGGGCGCTCAAGTTTAGTATTATGGAACTTAAGACGGTACGGGCTTGGGCAATTTGTTCAGTCGACACTGGGACCAAATTTTACCAAATTCCGTCAATTGTATATACCCAATTCGTTCGTTTGAATAAGAGGCATTTTGACAAATTTGATTAGCGAGTTTAATTCCTCTAAACATCTCACGCCTTCTCGAAGATTATGTCAACTTCGGGCTCACGCTCTAAGTCGCCTGCCAATAATATCATAGAATCCTTGACGTTCACAACAGGCCAAATAGCACTTTATAGGAAAATGGAAAATAATCACTAATACGTCTCCGGTGGTCGGGTATTGGTTAAAACCGAGGAAAAAACATTTTCTTCACAAATCTGTGAAGGTTGGGCAGACCACGTACCTTTGTCACTCTTAGCGAGGTTGTTTCTTTTTTATATCACAAGTTTCAGAACTTTTGCATTAGTTTTTTAATCAAGGACTTACTCGCGAATTTGCAAGCATCTTGAAAAGAAATCAATTCATTTACTTTCGAAAAATGAAGCACACAGGTTTGATTAGGATGTGCAGGTGGAGCAGTTTGCGCGAAAAGATCGATCGGGAGTTCGCGTCTAACGGAGGTAATGGCAACCAGAGGGTTTGTTAAGTTTAATACGAATTTCTCAATAACTCGAGTGTGTTTTGAAATCAACTTAATTTTTTGGAAAAAAGTGACTATCAAAATCTGAGTGAGATGGAAGGAGTGAGGTAGTGACGTGATACAGATAAGGACTTTCACGTCAGAACTAAACTGCTGGCAAATCTTATAAATATAGGGTCAATCAGTCATGGAAGGTAATATGAAACGTTGATATTTTTAGTTGTTTTAGTGATATTTTGCGACGGCATTTCTCTACAGTTAAAATAAACGACAGGATTTGTCTACCATCCTCAAGGGCTTTAAAAAAAGCATTTTTGACAGTATCTTCACTTGTTTGAAGTAGAAGTTCTTGTGAATATCAGAATCTTGTTGACGAAGCGAACACCAACTTTGGAGGAAAACCTGACGACAGCCTACTTATGTACAAATAATTCAAGGCAACCAATCACTTTTCCTTTCAATTTCCGCTTGTGACACCACTTAAAAATTCGAATTTTATCGATAAAAGCAGGGGTGCATGAATTTACCATTTAACTGATGATAAGTTTCGATAAAATGAATGTGTGCGTAGAAAGGCTTTTTTTTTTAGAGCTGTTTAACGATCCGTGTTGATGTTATCGGAAAAGAGGGTAGGATTTTATATACGACTAATGGCTTGAATTGGACCTTTTTAAGACCAGCAGCTTTATTTTTTGGCCGTTTTACGGCCAATCCATTAAGACCCTCAAGAAAGTAAATCAATTGAGCACATAGCATAGACCTGAGAAATTGCTATGTAATTACTTCTCGATTATCGGCAGGCTGCATTGACGACGCTTTGATTTCTACTTTTGATAACGCTTTGAAGGAAATGAATTACGTCGCCCTGTTGTTGTTCACTTTTGCAGTGGCGAAGTCATGGCCCTCTTCGAGGGTGGAACGTGAAGCGGAGATGGATGGTAAGATGGAAGGTAATAAATGACTTGTAGTAACCTGATAATAACTAATAGGTACAATAACTTGTAGCAACTGGTAGCAAAAATGGGAAAGACGCGAACGGGACACTGAGACTTATGCTAGATGCCCACCCAGGGTTATGGAAATTTGAAAATATGTAAAAAATTATACAGGTATAATTCAGATATCAGCAGACCAAAAAGTTTGTCTTCTTTTGCGGTAATAGGGTGCAAGCGAAAGTCCCAGGTAAGTTTGCTCGAAACAACTTTACCCAGATCTCTCTGTCTATGCACACGTAGTAACTTTTCGGGGTTAGAAAAACAATCTTGAAGTAGAGGCATCTTTTTCCGCATAACCTTGGTCCTAGAAGGATTTAATTGGATGTTGTTTACGTGGCTCCAACGAATGGGGTTTGTTAGAACTTATTGAGGTCGTCCACAATCTATTGTCGATCAGATAGGACTGAAGATTTCAGTATGAGTCACCAAGGGTAAACCAGGCAAACGTGCCGCCTTCCACAACACGCCGTTTGATGACGATACTCTCTTGAAATGCTTTCAATATGATTTTATAAGTAGTGTTACGTGCAGAAGTTGAAAGGAAAACTGAAGTAATTATGTAGTCTATGAATATTCCGGTTATACCGTTACAACTTACAACACACTTTAATCAATATTCACCTCACTTAAATACATTTTACAACATTTTTATTCATAGTTAACATACAGCCATGCAATCGTACCGGTCTATTCCCATGATAAATGCATTCTAAAAGTTACAACACTACAGATTAGATGCCTTGGATTTTCAGAACATTTAGATTTTTCTCGGGTTTACCTGCAAAATTAGCAGATTTTAACGAAGTCGATCCTGAAGTGTTTTTATTTGATGTTGACAAATTCGAGGAAAATTATGTATTCTCGTATTTTTTGTAGATGATACCAATAATTTTGATATTTTTTTCCGAACTGTCACTAACAGTAACTTTTTTTATTAAAAACTACAAATTTCCAGGAGGAACAAACGACTAAATTTCAAAGGGTTGTGATAAAAAAGTTTTCGTTGTGGATTGACCCATGCTGAACCCATTCCAGTTTTGGAGCGTTCATTAACAAGACGCCATCTGATTGGTTCTTTACCCGGTCAGTATTTTCCTATCTCTGTCCACTGGCAACGGTAACGCTTTCGTGAGTCGCCGAGCACATCCCTACATTCGCTGCCATTTTTCATTTATACACATATTCCCCTTCTAAAGGTCTTGTTCAACATAGAATCTTTGTAGCTCAGTAGTACAACAAGGGATCACAGAATCCCAATATCTGGGGTTCGATTCCATGGGAGCCCAAAATTTATCCCATGCACGAGATAAAACGAAAAATATCTTACTTCAGAATGTACGTTCTCTGGACTACCTGCGATGAAGTTTGGGTCGTGCTAAACCTACGAACTTCTCAAAAGAAAGGTACATTGAGACGGGCGTATCCCAAAGATGAAGAAGAACATACATGTGCAACTGATTTTATCATTGGAGCTTCAAGTTAACGCGTATTTGACATCTGGAAATAAAAAACTCACTTGATTCACTTACTCTCGGTGAGTATTTACCTGTCTTATCCATCCCTACCCTCTGTTGCGATGTTATCAACAATGATCGTAAAAAAGACTTGAATTTCAAGTCACTTGAATAAAAATTCACGTGCCTCTTCTTTTAACTGTAAAATTTGATTTGTAGTGTTACGTGCAGGAGTTGAATGGAAAAGTAATCTCTCTAAGTTGGATTTCCAGAACTTCTAAAATTGTGTTTGGGGTTTTCTTCCCTCGAAATAAAAAATTATATCAATCATGGACGTAAGAACATTTTTTGTTTGATGTCGAGAATTTCGAGAAAAATTAAAACTTTTTATGTTTGATGTGGATTATGCCAATAATTTTGATATTTTTCGGAACAGTCTCTGACAAGTTTTATCTTTGATCATAGAGAATATTCTTGTTTTTAAAGTGTAAAAGCTACAAAATATGCGTGTATCAAACAGAAGCCCGGAAGGAAAATAAAGCTAAACATTTTACTTATGGTCTGATCTACGTTGGACCCAATCCAATTTTACCTACATTGATAGTCAAAGATCGAACAGCCACGTTTGGTCAGAGTTAAGATTTACTCACAGAGATTAAGAGCCGAGTATCGACACCAGCTTCTGCCTTGTATCTGCGGTGAGTTGTCGTGGAAAAATACTACTCAATACGACAACAGCTCTTTCTTAAAGCTCAGTTAACACTTTTTGACGTGTCGCGATCGATTTAGCTTGATACATATCGAATGATATCTCAATGTCTTTTCTTTTAAGGGCTTATTGCGGTATTAGTTTCAACGGGCTATAATGGACGATGATAGACATTATCTTTGAGTGGGTGTCTGATTGCAAAACATCAGATCTCCCTGAATGAGGGATCTAAAATAAGGAACACGTCAGTGTTTTATCTTTCAGTGATATTCTGACGACAGTCATTTTAAGTCTCCGTCCACCATCAATCACAGAAATGAAAAATGCTAGAATCTTTCCTGCTGATTTAAATTCTCATTTCGAAACTTAATTACTTTAAATTTTACCGTTGAAAATTTGTGGCGTTCAGTTGCCACTGACGAGATTTACCTCGATGTCCTTTCACCTTAAAAGATCTTCAGACTTTGCTAAATGATTCAAGCTAAAAGTGTGATAACATTCTGAAAACTTTCAGCCAATCTTGATTTAGCCTTTAGGCTTTGAATTCAGCGCATCTGTACCCAAGACAACCCTGAACTATTACACGAATCCTATTGTAGTTTTCTCTTCCCTGAACTTGTTAATGAAAAGTGTGATAATATTCTGAAAACTTTCAGCCAATCTTGATTTAGCCTTCAGGCTTTGAATTCAGCGCATCTGTACCTAACACAACCCTGAACTATCACACGAATCCTATTGTAGTTTTCTCTTCCCTGAACTTATTAATGAAAAGTTTGTGAAAGTACTGCTTTATCATTCTAACTGAACTTATTTGTATCAAATCAAACAGAGAGGATAAAGAAGAGGAAGGAAAAGAGGAAGAAAAATCTTAATATTAACTTTTTAGCCAAGCGGACTAAAAAAATCGTTCAATTAAGATTGGAGTGCATAAGCAAGAACTTAGTTTAATAGAAATTGTTTATATCAACATCTGACTGGACAATGTATGAATTTTCATGCTTAATATGAAGACATTTTTTGTTTTAGATGGTTGACCGAAAATATATATAGGGTGCTTCATTTTGACTCTCATACGGCTCAGAATCATGTTCCCGACTGCACACAACATGTGTTACGATAACACGCCAAGTGTGATATCAAACACGTTCGGTTTAGCGCGACAACTTTTCGTAAACAGTACAAAATGTGTCCTCCAATAGTTGTCGTCATGATATCATCGAAAAACAAGAAACATGTCCTTCACACACCTGCTCAAAGATAAGGAGAAGAATACGATTGTCTAGAAATTCGTCCATTATAGCTCGTGAAACAGATAGTGCGATAACAAAAGCACTTCGAAAAGGAGATAAAATCTTTCGATGTATATAGCTAATTAAAATCAACGATGATACTTCATAAAGTGTTAACTAAGCCTTAAAAGAGCTGTTATCGTCTTTTTCAGCAGCATTTTTCATCAACAGCTCTCCGCAGATATTGAGGAAAAGTTGGCATCGACCCTCGGCTTTTTATCTCTGTGAGTAAATCTTAACTAAATGAACGTAGTTGTTCGATCTAAGAGTATCAGTACGAGAAAACCTTTAAGCGCGTGATCGAAAACTTTAAATTAGACATTTCCATTCGAGAACATTCAGTTCGCTACACTTACTCAGCTCTTATATGTGACAAAAGCTTCACTTCGGTTATTTTTTCCCAGCCCAGCCTGTTTGTATTGATGTTTTTCTTTTCCCTTACATAATCGAAAGTTTCCTTATGTAAAGCTATTTTTAAGCGTCCTAAATCCCTTCGTCACTGACCGTCTGTAATGTATTTTCAAAAGAGACATTTTTTTAAAGAAGGGAACAGACTTGGGGCATAAGATGTGCTGGGTAAACCCCAACACTCGATACCCTCTATCAGTGTGAGGACGGGCAGAACTCCCAAGATAATTTGTGCTCCTAGCCACTCGTCATTTGATCGGGAGAATCGGGAGCTATGCCAAGATAACACTATTCAATTCGACCAATTTTCGATTGAGTGCCAAAAGTAATCCAGGATTGCTTTGGTTTTTAATCTTATATGATCTATAATTTGGCCAGAAAACTCGTGCCTTTTTCAAACCAATCACATCCAAAACTTGAAAAGAATCGAGATTTGGTCACTTGCGTTTCTCGCACTTTATGCAGTTTGCTTGTTTTAACCCAGTCTGAGTTCTCAGCGGTTCCTTGTTGCGTCTTTCTCTTCAAACTGACTGCTTGTTGTGATTGCTTTGGTTCTGGTGTGACGACACTCCATCGCAATGTTTTGAAATTATGAGGGGAATAGTAGAGCTTCCTTTAACTCTTTGATTGCCAAGATCTCATTAGTTATTCTCCTTACTGTCTGTCATATAGTTCTTGTGATGTTAGTTCGGAGAATTTGGTATTGGATCAACTAATAATCCCCTAATTGATATTTTTCTTTGTTCTCATCACTTGATATTGTATTGATATTGTAAGGAGAAATTATGTCTTGATCACCCATGAGAGTTAAAGGGTTGAGGGTATTTCCATCATATATATAGAATGAAATGTCAACTGTCGACAAACTGCATTGAAGACGCTCTGATTTCTGTTCTTGATAACGTTTTGAAGGAAATGAAGTGCGTCGCTCTGTTAATAATCACTTTGGCAGTGGCGAAATCATGGCCTGCTACGCGTAGGGAAAGTGAAGTGAGGAGAGCTGGTAAGAACTTCAGTCATAACTTTGCGAATTGTTGAGTGAGTTACCTATATTAATTTGAAAATATTAACTCTGGTTTGAAAGAAAATACCATGTGACTGTTCTAAAAGTGAAGCGGTTTCCCTCAGAAACTAGGATCGAAGGTTTTCTTTTACTATGCATGTTCAATCTTTTGGAGACTAAAGCCGACTCCCCTTACCCGATTGAAAGTTCATATGATGTTTCCGATTCATTTTATCCCAATTTGATGGGTTAGACATTTACTTCCAATTAAGTATTTCAAATTTCAAATGAAAAAAAAACACACACACACAACTGACTGTTCTGCATAGGGAGCAATCTTTATTAGAAACATGGACAGAAAGTCTTTTTTTCTTTCGAGAAATTTTCACATCAAGAAAAATACGATTAACTTCTTTTAAAACGTTGAATGGATCCCATAATTTTAATCCTCTCATTTTTTAGGAGCAAAATTCGACTACTCTAGTAAAAGAAAAGCAGACTACCCCAAAACAGCCGACTACCCTAACAAAGCTGACCACTCAGAGGAGTACCCTAAGGAAGCCGACTTTCCCAACAAAGCCGACTACCCTAACAAAGCTGACTACCCAGAGGAGTACCCTAAGGAAGCCGACTACCCTAAGGAAGCCGACTACCCTAAGGAAGCTGACTACCCTAAGGAAGCCGACTATCCTAACAAAGCTGACTACCCTGGCAAAGCCGACTACCCTAACAAAGCTGACTACCCAGAGGAGTACCCTAAGGAAGCCGACTACCCTAAGGAAGCCGACTACCCTAAGGTAGCTGACCACCCTAAGGAAGCCGACTATCATAACAAAGCTGACTACCTTAACAAAGCTGACTACCCTAACAAAGCTGACTACCCAGAGCAGTACCTTCAGGAGGACGACAACCCTAAGGAAGCTGACTATCCTAACAAAGCTGACTACCCTGACAAAGCTGACTACCCCAACAAAGCTGACAACCCAGAGGAGTACCCTAAGGAAGCCGACTATTCTAACAAAGCTGACTACCCTAGCGAAGCCGACTACACTTACATAGCTGACTACCCAGAGGAGTACCCTAAGGAAGCCGACTATCCAAACAAAGCTGACCACCCAGAGGAGTACCCGAAGGAAGCCGACTTACCTAACAAAGCTGACTATTGAATAGATAATAAAATTGAATCACATCAGTTTCATCTTCTCCGATGAGCGCAAGCATGGAACTAATGTCAATCATAACCTTGTACTAAAATTTGTAAGAACAGGGGATAATAGTTATCAAGGACAAATAAAGAAAGAACACGAAGCATGTTTCAATGTGTGTGCAATTAAATAATGTCGAGATGAGTGGGGCCTTTATCTAATTTCACTCAGTTGACAAAAGAGTAAAGTTGAATGTAAATATCGGCAGATGCTCCTTTGGTAATCGTACTATGACCATGCGAATTGCCTAAATTAAAATCAAAGTTTGGCATGACGGCAGAGGTATTTTATTAAGATCTTGGAGACGTGAGAAGCTCCAGGCAAAGAAAAATTTACAGTGTAATCCAATAAAAAATCAGACAGATTGGGAAAAGTGAAAAAAAAGAGAAGATATGGTAGGAAATCAGCAGAAGTTCTGGTCTATTCATGAATGATTTAGAGATCTTTGCCACGACTACAACTGTAAGAAAAGCTGTTAAAAACCAATAATGACAAATAAGAAAGAAATAAGGGCTAACGAAACAAGAGAAGAAAAGAAGGAGCATTCGAAATGAGCAGAAGTTCTGGTCCATACATGAGTGATTTAGAGATATTTACCCTCGCCCCTAACTGATAGCAAAGCTAATAAAACTAATAATAAAAAGCTAGGCAGGGGTGAATGAAATTAAAGGAAGACGTGGGCGAGCATTCAAAATGAGCAGAAGTTCGGGTCCATCCATGAATGAGTACAATTAATTTGCCTCCGCCTCCAATTGTTAGCAAAGCGGTGAATAACTATTGATAACAGATTAGACAGAGATAAGGAAGAACGAGACAAAAGGCAGATATGGGTGAGCATTCGACATGAGCAGAAGTTTTGGTCCATCCATGAATGAGTAAGCGAAATTTTCACTCGCCCCGTCTGTTAGCAAGGCCAGAAACAGCTATTAGTAATAACAAATGAGACATAAGGACGAGTGATGTAAAGAGATGATATGGGTGAGCAGTCGGAGTTAGCAGAACTTCTGGTCCATGAATGGTTGAGTGATATTTACTCTTGTAATTTTTTGCCAAAGTGATAAATAACTTTTAAAAGAGAAAAGAGATTACTTGCTGGAAACCTATGTAATTAAAATTAAGGTGATGATGATCACAACCAAGATTATTTGTTTCGTCTGCAAGAAATATGTAAATGAGAAAATATCCAATAAAGTAAAAAAAATATAATCAAGAATTTTGCCTAGAATCTAGGCTGATGGAAAGAGAAATTTTCCGTCTCCTCTCAAGATTGAGGCAAGGAATGCAACCTTGTTAATGGAAACTTATCAGGGTTCGCTCCTATAACATCATATCCTATATAATATGAAAACTTGTCCCCAGAAAGAGGTCTGAAAGAATTGTACAGCAGAGACAAATTGGTATAGTTAATAACGAAATTAAATCAATGAAGCATTGAGGAAACTTTGTGTGCCGATGACGACTGAAAATGGGAAATTTATGCACTCAGCAGAAGTTCTTGTCCATCCATGAATGAATTTAAAGAGATTTCCTGTCTCTGTCTCTGTGACTTTCTGTCACCAGAAAGAGATCTGAAAGAATTGTACAGCAGAGACAAATTGGTATACTTAATAACGAAATTAAATCAATGAAGCATTGAGGAAACTTTGGGTGTCGATAGCGACTAAAAATGGAAAATTTATGCACTTAGCAGAAGTTCTTGTCCATCCATGACTGCATCTGAAGAGATTTCCGTCTCCTCTCAAGATTGAGGCAACGGATGCAACTTTGTTGAAGGAAACTAAGCATGGTTCGTTCCTATAACATTATATCCTGGATAATATGAAAACTTGTTCCCAGAAAGAGGTCTGAAAGAATTGTACAGCAGAGACAAATTGGTATACTTAATAACGAAATTAAATCAATCAAGCATTGAGGAAACTTTGGGTGCCGATAGCGACTAAAAATGGAAAATTTATGCATTTAGCAGTAGTTCTTGTCCATCCATGAATGAATCTAAAGAGATTTTCTGTCTCCTCTCAAGATTGAAGCAAGGAACACAACCTTGTTGATGGAAACTTATCAGGGTTCGCTCCTATAACATTATATCCTATATAATATGAAAACTTTTCCCCAGAAAGAGGTCTGAAAGAATTGTACAGCAGAGACAAATTGGTATAGTTAATAACGAAATTAAATCAATGAAGCATTGAGGAAACTTTGTGTGCCGATGACGACTGAAAATGGGAAATTTATGCACTCAGCAGAAGTTCTTGTCCATCCATGAATGAATTTAAAGAGATTTCCTGTCTCTGTCTCTGTGACTTTCTGTCACCAGAAAGAGATCTGAAAGAATTGTACAGCAGAGACAAATTGGTATAGTTAATAACGAAATTAAATCAATGAAGCATTGAGGAAACTTTGGGTGTCGATAGCGACTAAAAATGGAAAATTTATGCACTTAGCAGAAGTTCTTGTCCATCCATGAATGAATCTAAAGAGATTTTCTGTCTCCTCTCAAGATTGAAGCAAGGAACGCAACCTTGTTGATGGAAACTTATCAGGGTTCGCTCCTCTAACATTATATCCTATATAATATGAAAACTTTTCCCCAGAAAGAGGTCTGAAAGAATTGTACAGCAGAGACAAATTGGTATAGTTAATAACGAAATTAAATCAATGAAGCATTGAGGAAACTTTGGGTGTCGATAGCGACTAAAAATGGAAAATTTATGCACTTAGCAGAAGTTCTTGTCCATCCATGAATGAATCTAAAGAGATTTTCTGTCTCCTCTCAAGATTGAAGCAAGGAACACAACCTTGTTGATGGAAACTTATCAGGGTTCGCTCCTCTAACATTATATCCTATATAATATGAAAACTTTTCCCCAGAAAGAGGTCTGAAAGAATTGTACAGCAGAGACAAATTGGTATAGTTAATAACGAAATTAAATCAATGAAGCATTGAGGAAACTTTGTGTGCCGATGACGACTGAAAATGGGAAATTTATGCACTCAGCAGAAGTTCTTGTCCATCCATGAATGAATTTAAAGAGATTTCCTGTCTCTGTCTCTGTGACTTTCTGTCACCAGAAAGAGATCTGAAAGAATTGTACAGCAGAGACAAATTGGTATAGTTAATAACGAAATTAAATCAATGAAGCATTGAGGAAACTTTGTGTGCCGATGACGACTGAAAATGGGAAATTTATGCACTCAGCAGAAGTTCTTGTCCATCCATGAATGAATTTAAAGAGATTTTCTGTCTCCTCTCAAGACTGAAGCAAGGAACGCAACCTTGTTGAAGGAAACTTAGCAGGTTCGCTCCTATAACATTATATCCTATAAAACATGAAAACTTGCCTTAATAGAATAATAGATATAGACAATTTCTAAACACATTATAAACGAAGACGGATGTTTCTTCGAGTATAGCTTCGACTGGTAGAAGACAGTTTTAGCAAATTATTTTGGAAAAAAATAAGCGACTATTGTATCTAGGATAGAGAGAAAGTTTATCAAAAATTACATCGCAGCCCGTTGGCTGAATTACGTGATTATTTGCAATATTGTGATATAAAATAATGCAAAAGTAGTGTTAAATTATATTAATCCTGTAATGATAACATTTAAAAAGACTTTGAGAAAAAATTATTTCCATATACAGTTTTTGCATAAAATTCAAGATCAAAAATAATTAAAAAAAACATTCTATATTCTTCTGAAATACATTAAGCATCGTTTGCTCGACAGACCATTGAAAAATCATGAAAGCAATACAAAGGAAAGATTAGCTTTCAAAATGAGCAAAAGTTCTGGTCCACCCATGAATGATTTAGAGATAATTGCCCTCGCTTAACTGCGAGTAATGCTTATCAAAACAGATCATAAAGAACTATTCAGAAGCACGGACGAACAAAAAAAAAAAAGAATAGTAAGAATATTCACAATCGAAGATCGTAGTTGATTTTCAGTATAAATGACTAGTTTAGGTTGATGGAGAGGAAAAGTTTTTACTAATATCAATGATTAGCGATACAGCAGTCATGTCTTCGAATACTCCAACAACTTTTGCCTTTTGCCTTATCTCTGACCGATCACTAAATGTACAATTAATTTAAAAACTCGTTAAAAAATGCATCGAACCTTCGTAAGCAAACAACGTCAACAAATTGGTGGCACATAAGGGAAAAAGCAGGATTACTATAAACAGTCGAACCTCTAAGTCATTAACGACTATCAGCCAGCAAAGCTTAGTCAATGATGGGAAAATAATTACATCAATCAAGCAATTAGAAACTTTGGTTGCCGGAAAAAGACTAATTAGTGTGGAAATGTATGCAGGGAGCATAAGTTTTGGTCCATCCTTGACTGAATCTGAAACGTTTTATCGCACCCTTAGGTAAACAAGACCGAAAAGAGAAACAACTCAGACACATTGACTATTTCCAATATATCCAGTAAAAACCATGAAGAATGTTTCTGTCAGTAGTGTTATATACGGCTAGTTTGAGTGAATGGCATTAAATTCCTTTATTGAGTTTGTTATCAAGTATTCGCGAAACATAGACGAGCATTGTACCTACCCAATGTTACTTTGATTTTGTCACCGCTTCAAGGCTCAACGAGTTTCTAAAATAGCTTATCAGCAATTAGCAACTTCAATCGGTCACCGCTGGTTTCAAACCTTTTTTGAGGTCAGTTTAATCAACACCGGCTGGCATAAAAGGCGGTGCACACACCATACTTTACCATAGATCGCACAGTGTTCCTCCAAGTAAACATTGCAAGATTGAACCATGGACCTAAAGTAAGTCAGAGCTTTCTCGTTTGTTAAATTCCTGTGCTTGTCTCTATAAGCTGATAATGGCTTGCCCGCTTGCCTTCTGCTTGTCTCTAAATTATTAAAAGAGTTCTGTTTCCTTTTTCAAGTGAGATGACGAATGATTTCAAAACGTGATTTCAAAAATGATTTGAAGCGTTTAACGGATACCTGACGAATTTACAGTTAGAATCAACTCAGATTTAAACAACAACTACTTCTTAAAGTGCCTATGACACGAAATTTTTCATTTGCATTTTCTGGTTAATGCTGTATTTAAAATTAGAAATAAGCGAACTTAGCGCCTAGCGGGCTCTCCTTGACCATTTTTTTATGCACTGAAAGAACAATCTGGCGACCAAAAAGTGTCCTAATAAAGCGCGCGGCCAAAACGATCATGTTACATAACTACGACGTAGAAAACTGTGAAGACACGCCGGCAACTATGGTGGAGAAAGGAGAAATCTAGAAGAAAAGACGAACGTATTGCGAGGCCGGAGCGCCAAATAATGTTAGCTACAAGAATAATACACATAAACCAGTATTTCTATACACTACTTTCCCAAAAAAAGTAGCTGTATGGCCAAAATGGATGCGTTTCGATCGTCGACATCGAGGAGATTTTACTCTTCAATGTCGCAGGCCTTATGCTCCGTACCGGCTTCGAAGACGCCTGTTACGAACATATACCACTAGTCAAAATCAAGGAAAGATAACCAATGAGTTCAGTTAAAAAGAATGCTGATTAAGGGGCCTGTTCCCACACCCTACACGATTGTTCAACATTCTTTTCAGCTGACATTTCGCAAGCGAAGAATGGTGAGTTCCTTATTGTTGTTTCTTTCACGCGCTTGAGATGTACTCATACTCCTTGTCTTCCCACATGACTACATTTGCGCTTTCCTTATCGAGTAAAAATCCTACCAATTGCAGTTTCCATCGCATTTTAATAACATAAATACATCATTTCTAATGAAGTTCAAGCCTTTTTCTAAGCTACCGATATCCTATTGGGTGAACAGTGCGAAACCTCTGGCGGATACTGGCATAAACACGAGCTCGAAAGGGCCGTGTATTCTCCTAATCTAGGTTTCCGCAAATCCATCCCACCAGCCATCAATTCCCCCCTGCTCTGAAGAACTAAAAGTAGTAATAGTAGCAATGTCATTGCGATAGCAGCACTGCAACAAGATAAATATAGAAACACAAATCTTATTAAAACAGATGGTGCCGAATCCGAGTGCTGTGAAAGTCGATTCATACGAAATATTCGTTTATAATACTGATGTCAGTTATTTCCCTTGGGCGGAATGGGTCATAAGGCAATGCTGCACTTAAACTAAAGAAGTTTTTCTCTATTAAATCCCTTTTTGAGATTAACATGAATCAGATGACTATATACTCACTCGTTTTCCAGCGGAGACGATAGCCTCTGCCTTTACAATCTTTGAGGAAAGGAGCAACTTGTAGTGAAACGCTCGGATGACTTCTCGGTGAAAAATCATCGGGCCTCGTGATACAGCTGATTCTTTTGTTAAAAGTTAGCTTTTGGTTTTTTCTGAGTAAATCTCTCTACAGCAACGAAAGAGCAATGACCGAGGGGAACCTTCGCTGCACATAGTCAGCGAAGGAATGAAAGTTATGGCAACAGAAACGAACACAGCTACCTATTCTTAACATAGATTTCGCCATAGGGAACAAACACAAACGCAACAAACGAAAAATGTAATAACGGGAATTTTTGCTCTAATCTTGACCTGAACACCGAAGGCGAGAAACCGTCTTCAATAGTCTTCGGTGACTGAAATCTTCGATTGCTGCACGAGGTTCTCCCTCTTAGGGCTGAACCATACTCACAACTTCCATTTCTTCTTTACTGCCTGAGTGCGATGTTTCACAACTCTCGGTAGAGCCTGCTGAAGGTAGGGTATACATCGCTATCGGGCATTATTTCAAGAGTATTTCAACGCTGACTGATACAAAATTACAAGAGATGTGAGAGATTTGTAAGTGTCAATTGAGAGTTTTCACAGTTTTCTACGTCATCACCCGCTAATTCGTTACCAGTCCACGGGACACTTTTGAGACAAAATAAGAGCACTTTAGGGCCCGAAAAAACCGAGTGCTAATTTTTTTGAAATTTTTTTGAAATTTTTTCCTCTTCGGAATTGGTTTGTACATACCATAAGCTAAATATTTACGCAAAAAAAAATTCATGTCGCAGGCACTTTAATGGCAAATTGTTTACTTCCTCTTCCATTTCAAACAGAACTGAGAACAGCAGAGAGATAGCCAGACACACTCCGTTGTCTGAAAAACGTTTAAGAGTTTACAGGATGATTTGATGGGACTGGGGCATTTCGCATTATTAGTGATCAAAACTGTCCTTATCCAAAATAAAAGACAATATTGAAAATGGAATTTAGTACATAGAGCAGGGCCGCGGCGAATTTGTTCATTCTCTTTTAGTAGACGCTTATATAGAGAAGGAAATTTCCTAGATAAAAAAAATAAAACCTAATTAGAACAATGCTTTTCTCTGTAAGAAAAATTAAAGCGAAGAAGAAAAAATAGCCCAAGAAATACGAGTATGTTTAGGTGTGACGTTAAACGGACTTTAAAACTTTTCAACAAACGATTTAAAATAATTTCAACAACAGTATGCAGCTCTTTTAGTGGCCTGTGGACCAGAATTTGAACAATTTGTGAGTTGTTTTGAAACAAGAAGCTTGACATCGATATATTTCGATACTGGTTAAGGGGAAAAGGGTTTGATAATTAGTCACTAATTATGTACCTTAAATTCTGAATCATCGTGGCGCCTTTGGGCTCAGATAAATCGCAATCGATAAAAATTGAAGACAGTTCATTTCTATCGACGAGTGACATTACACTGATGTCTATAATATTTTAATGGTTGGATCACTCCAGGAAAATGAAGTACCTCGCTTTGTTGCTGATGGTTTTGTGTTTGGCGAAGGCATTCATTATCGAGAGCGAAGAAGACCCCGAGCTGGAAATAGAGGTGCACTTTTCATGAAATCTATTGATATCTCTTTGAGAGGGCTTCTATATTAACGTTTGTCTAACCTACAGAGTAAATAGACTTACTCTCAGTCAAATTATTTTTTCAAGGAACCTGTCGCCACCATGAACGATGAACCTAATCCTGCGATACTAAACGAGGGAGAAAACGGTAAGTTTGTAAGTACAGTTTATCCTTTGAAATTTTCGGGAGGGAGAAGAATTCGAAGCGATAGCTAAATAGTCACTCACTAAACTCCCAGTTGCATGATAGTTATGCATGACCAGGGTAAGCCAAACATTGTTGCGGAGACGACTGACAGCTTTCTGTTGACACTTGAACGCGCAAACAAAACTTCGCAGTAATGCGGCTTTCTTTACGAGTAAATCTCCCTGTCCTTCCGACCATAGAGGAAAGTAGTTTCTAAGAGAAATAATATTCAGTTTATTAGCCTCTTGGCTCATGTGGAAACTTAATCTTACTTTTCATTTTCCAGAAAAGCCTGTGAAACGACACTTTTACGGATACGGCCGCTATGGTGGTTCCCGCCATGGTTCCCGCTTTGGTGGTTCCAGCTCTGGTGGTTCCCGCTTTGGTTCCCGCTATGGTCACCGCTATCGCTATTATGGCAAAAAGTGAACAGTTTCCGGTTCACTTTCCGGTTCAACTCCAACATGAAATTGTTTTTAATTCAGTAATCGTATCTTAAACGTCAGTCTTTTGTAAAAACGCGATGAAAGGATCCATTCAATCATTATAAAGGAAACATGTGGAGATAAAATTACCCAATAAAAGCATTTTTAATGTTTGTTTGTTCCATTGGTGTTTTGCAGTCCTAACAATATTACCGATCGAGGCGAACGACTGAAGAGACTTGGGCTGGAAACTTTTTCAGGACCTTTAGTGTGCTCCAGTTTCAATAAGAGCCGTTTTACTAGCCATCGTTTATTTCTCCCATCACCGCAATTGGTATTTCATTAACATTTGTACACGGCATCTTTCATTTCTACACTCCGTCGGCAGCCACTTATTAAAGCGAAAGCATTTCAGCTCCAAAACACGTATCCTCTTTAGTCATTTTGGTGTTTTTTATTCATTAATTCTCCAGAAATGTTAAAATCCTACTTTCAGTTACCAACTGGACTGAATAATCCCTTTGATGTACGTCATGTTTGCTTGTATTTAGCGGAGCCCTCCTTCGTCTCTTATGCGGTCACCCGGTATAAGCCCTTTACACCCTAACATCAGTATCCATATTCTCCGTACTATTCACTATACATTTCCCAAGGTGCTGATAAAGAGAATATTATTGTTTAATAATCAAGAGCTGCTTTAATTGGTGATCATTTCTTATATTCTCATGAACTTAATGTTTGATTCAAGAGTGATATTGTAAGGAGAAATCAGACGCTGGTCACTCCTAGAGGTTTTAAAAAGGGTTAAGCGGTCGGTTGTGTAATTTTAAGAGGAGATCTCTATTTTAATCGATTAACCGTTTAGCTCCCTGATCAAATTTGTAATTCTCCTTACTGTCAACCATACAATTCGTATAATTTAATGCAGAGAATTTAGAATTGGATCGACTAATTATCTCCCAAATTGATATTCTCATCACTTAATATCTGGTTGATATTGTAGGGAGAAATTCTGTCTTGGTCACTCATGGGAGAGGGTTAAAAGCGGTCGTGGTTACCCTTAACTGAGTCGCAACAGCCTGTTTGAATTGTCTTTCACATGTATTAAATAGTCCGTTAAAGCGAAATCGTTGTAATAAAAGTAAGGATAATCTCTCAAGTAAAAGCAATTCCGTGTTTATCTCCCAAAAACAATGTTAGTACTTCGAGTTCAATTGTGGGTCAATTGTCCTAAACGCATTGCAACCGGGAGAGTATATTTCTTCTTGTATCAGTTAGGACGAATATCACGCCTAGAAACCTCGCAAGTCTTTTGCTGGCTGATAGTCGTTAATGACCTAGAGGTCCAACTGTTTATAGTAATAACACACCGCCTACAGTAATCCTGCTTTGCCCTAGTGCGCTACCACTTTGTTGATGTTGTTTGCTGACGAAGGATCGATGCATTTTTGAACGAGTTTTTAAATGAAATGTACATTTAGTGATCAGTTGTGACATGAAAGGGCGTTTTTTTTATCGCGTCTCAACTATATTCCGTGGATCCTGTATTTAGCAGTCAACCTGTACGTTGCGGTCAACCAGCGACCGCTAAAGTACTGTTGTGACTCGGGTGAGGAAATGAGAGGAACCTGGGAACGAAGGAAAGGAGGGTTAGTTCATCGGGCTCCGTGAACTAAATCTCGGGAGAAACTGCAAGAATTATTTCAGAGTGTATGCGTGTTGTTTTGTAAATATAAGCACTGTAACCTATTTTAACTTGTATTTGTGTCCTTTTAAGCAGCGCGATATGTCTGTTGTGACCAGAGTGCCAAATTTTATTCTTAGAGATTATTAGTTTATCAAAAACTATATTACAGCCTGTTGGCTGAATTACCTGATTATTTGCAATTGAACAAATAGATTCCAAGTTGCCGTGCGTCTGTTCAGTAATAGATCACAGATGACATCAAAATGTGGTAAGAACAAAAAAGTGGCAGACGAGGGGCACCCACGCCTGATACCAAAGCTAATAAAACTATCAACAACAAACTAGGCAAGGGTGAATTAAATAAAAGGAAGATAGGAGTGAATATTAAAAATGAGCAGAAGTTCTGGTCCATCCATGGGTAAGTAAAATTAATTTGCTTCCGCCTCTAATTGTTAGCTAAGCGATAAATAACTATTGATAACAGATTAGACAGTGGTAAGCGAAGGAATTTAGCAGGGTTCGCTCCTCTAACATTATATCCTATATAATATGAAAACTTGCCCCCAGAAAGAGGTCTGAAAGAATTGTACAGCGGAGACAAATTGGTATACATAATAACGAAATTAAATCAATGAAGCATTGAGGAAACTTTGTGTGCCGATGACGACTGAAAATGCAAAATTTATGCACTCAGCAGAAGTTCTTGTCCATCCATGAATGATTTTAAAGAGATTTTCCGTTTCCTCTCAAGACTGAAGCAAGGAACGCAACCTTGTTAATGGAAACTTAGCAGGGTTCGCTCCTATAACATTATATCCTATAAAACATGAAAACTTGCCTTAATAGAATAATAGATATAGACAATTTCTAAACACATTACAAACGAAGACGGATGTTTCTTCGAGTATAGCTTCGACTAGTAGAAATCAGTTTTAGCAAATTATTGTGGAAAAAAATAAGCGACTATTGTATCTAGGATAGAGAGATAGTTTATCAAAAATTACATCGCAGCCCGTTGGCTGAATTACGTGATTATTTGCAATATTGTGATATAAAATAATGCAAAAGTAGTGTTAAATTATATTAATCCTCTACTGATAACATTTAAAAAGACTTTGAGAAAAAATTATTTCCATATACAGTTTTTGCATAAAATTCAAGATCAAAAATAATTAAAAAAACATTCTATATTCTTCTGAAATACATTAAGCATCGTTTGCTCGACAGACCATTGAAAATCATGAAAGAGTTCTTTGCCCTGTTTGTATGGACGCGTGGTATCATGTAGGAGCGATTATTTCTCAGATTGTAAACGGAATGGTTTGACAATGATGACAAATTGGAGAGCTTATGATTAACGTCCAACTCGATACGATGTACAGATATAGTTCATAGCAGACCATGATACTCTAACATCAGATGTTTTGGTCCATCCACGAATGAGTAAGAGAAATTTGTCCTCGCCCTCATCTGTTAATTAGCAAAGCTATTAACAACTATCAGTAATAACAAATTAGACATTGTGGCGAACAATACAAATAAAAGATTAGCTTTCGAAATGAGCAAAAGTTCTGGTCCACCCATGAATGATTTAGAGATAATTGCCCTCGCTTAACTGCGGGTAATGCTTATCAAAACAGATCATAAAGAACTAATCAGAAGCACGGACGAACCAAAAAAAAAGAATAGTAAGAATATTCACAATCGAAGATCGTAGTTGATTTTCAGTATAAATGACTAGTTTAGGCTGATGGAGAGGAAAAGTTTTTACTAATATCAATGATTAGCGATACAGCAGTCATGTCTTCGAATACTCCAACAATTTTTGCCTTTTGCCTTATCTCTGACCGATCACTAAATGTACAATTAATGTAAAAACTCGTTAAAAAATGCATCGAACCTTCGTTAACAAACAATCAATCAAGCAATTAGAAACTTTGGTCGCCGGAAAAAGACTAATTAGTGCGGAAATGTATGCACGGAGCATAAGTTTTGGTCCATCCTTGACTGGATGTGAAACGTTTTATCGCACCCTTAGGTAAACAAGACCGAAAAGAGAAACAACTCAGACACATTGACTATTTCCAATATATCCAGTAAAAACCATGAAGAATGTTTCTGTCAGTAGTGTTATATACGGCTAGTTTGAGTGAATGGCATTAAATTCCTTTATTGAGTTTGTTATCAAGTATTCGCGAAACATAGACAAGTATTGTACCTACCCAATGTTACTTTGATGTTGTCACCGCTTCAAGGCTCAACGAGTTTCTAAAATAGCTTATCAGCAATTAGCAACTTCAATCGGTCACCGCTGGTTTCAAACCTTTTTTGAGGTCAGTTTAATCAACGCCGGCTGGCATAAAAAGCGGTGCACACACCATACTTTACCATAGATCGCACAGTGTTCCTCCAAGTAAACATTGCAAGATTGAACCATGGACCTAAAGTAAGTCAGAGCTTTCTCGTTTGTTAAATTCCTGTGCTTGTCTCTATAAGCTGATAATGGCTTGCCCGCTTGCCTTCTGCTTGTCTCTAAATTATTAAAAGAGTTCTGTTTCCTTTTTCAAGTGAGATGACGAATGATTTCAAAACGTGATTTCAAAAATGATTTGAAGCGTTTAACGGATACCTGACGAATTTATAGTTAGAATCAACTCAGATTTAAACAACAACTACTTCTTAAAGTGCCTATGACACGAAATTTTTCATTTTCATTTTCTGGTTAATGCTGTATTTAAAATTAGAAATAAGCGAACTTAGCGCCTAGCGGGCTCTCATTGACCATTTTTTTATGCACTGAAAGAACAATCTGGCGACCAAAAAGTGTCCTAATAAAGCGCGCGGCCAAAACGATCATGTTACATAACTACGACGTAGAAAACTGTGAAGACACGCCGGCAACTATGGTGGAGAAAGGAGAAATCTAGAAGAAAAGACGAACGTATTGCGAGGCCGGAGCGCCAAATAATGTTAGCTACAAGAATAATACACATAAACCAGTATTTCTATACACTACTTTCCCAAAAAAGTAGCTGTATGGCCAAAATGGATGCGTTTCGATCGTCGACATCGAGGAGATTTTACTCTTCAATGTCGCAGGCCTTATGCTCCGTACCGGCTTCGAAGACGCCTGTTACGAACATATACCACTAGTCAAAATCAAGGAAAGATAACCAATGAGTTCAGTTAAAAAGAATGCTGATTAAGGGGCCTGTTCCCACACCCTACACGATTGTTCAACATTCTTTTCGGCTGACATTTCGCAAGCGAAGAATGGTGAGTTCCTTATTGTTGTTTCTTTTACGCGCTTGAGATGT